CGGTTGAAGCTGACCTACTGAGACGCCGAAGTGGTTCAAGACTTCGACGATTAGAGGATGAAGAGGAAGGCGCAGCCCGGCAATGAGCTGCTCCCGGAAGACCACAATCTCATCTGGACCGTGCTCCCAAGGGAAGTTGCCCGAAGGTATGCTATATGCATACTCCCCGGGCAGGTTGAATTGACGAATAAGGGACCAAAGTCTCTCACACGTCATGGTGGAAGGTCCGAATGTGTCCGGCATTCGAACCCGACGAGAGGTGGACTCTAGACTACTCGGGGTAGCCCGGCCTAAAGGCCCTACCTCGGTCTCATCCAGAAGGCTGTCAAAAGAGTCAGCCCGACCCGAGGTCTCCGCCTCAGGCCCATCCAAGAGGTTACCCGAACTACTTGAACTAGACATCGCGAAAGGAAAAGGAAAGGAAATTGAAAAAGGCTAAGGGGACTCACCAAGGGAAACGCTACCGAACTAAGGAAAGTGACGCGAGCTGGGGACCTTGCATGCGAGCTCAAGGAACGATCGTTTAAATTTGGCGAAGGAAAAGTGGCCAGGGACCCCACTATTTATAGCCGCTGTACCCGCGCATCAACGGACGAGATCAAAGCCATCCAACGGCTCTCAGGAAAACCGGCTGCACGAGCCCCGAGGTGAAATCAGTTTATCGCCAATTTTTGATGTCCGATAGTTGATAAATCGCTTGACGTCCGCACATGAGTTGTACGCGACCCAGGCTGACTTCGGTTGAGCTGCGTTGACCCTGGTTGAGCCAAGAATGCAAGCGGGTTAGACCGGGAATCTTCGAGCTGGACTAAGCACGCCATGGAGCAAATCCACCCGTTAGTCTGTGAACTCCCCACGCCGGGTCAAGATCCCAAGCATGGGGAGCGGGGGGCAATTGATGGAGGTAGATTTGGCCCGACCCCTTGGCTATGCGACACGTGGAAGAAGACGAGATGACTTGGCAGGAACGCCAGCTCGACACGATGACGTAGCGCGGCCGTCCCAAAGAGAGGCTTGAGCTCTTCAAAGAGAGGCCCGAGCTCACGAGCTCCCCAAGAAGAGGCCCGAGCTTCCCAAAAGGAATCCACGCTTTCTGGAGGCGAAACCCGAACTCTCCCTAAAGGATCCCAAGGCTAACAGCGAAGCCCGCGAAGGGTAAGGTCGAAACTAGCCCACCTCGGGCCAGTTCGGACCATATGCCAGCACTACGGGATAGTAGGACCTACTCATCCGAACTCAAGACTTCACCTCGCGCACCACTCCGGCACCTTGGCTCCAGGTCGCGCGACTATGAAACCATATCTGACAGATCCGTACTCTGGGGCAGCACGCCTGACTGGTCTGGGTCTGACAGACGGCAATCACGCCGTAACGGCTATCTGCCACGCCATCTCAGTTGTGGCAGAGACGGCCCTGGCAGAAAGGACAGTGGCGGTAATGCCTGCCCCCCCCACAGAGGCGGTTATACTTGACTTAGCAGAAATTTGGGAGTGAGTGTACCGGGTGGTTATAAAAGGCCTTCCTCCCCCAGAGAAAGAGGTATGTGATATTTGTGCTTTCTGGTCTTGAAATCTCTTTATTTTCCCTTGCCTTATCAAGAGCATTGACTTGAGCTTCGGAGTATTCCTACCAGGTTCCTCCCCGGAAACCTCCGATTTCTTCCTTGTTTCAGGCATCTTCGACTCCATCAGAGGCAAGATTACCGGTAGTTAAGACCGACCGGATTGTGCATCATCACAGTCCAATATGTATTTAAATTTTGAACCTTGGGTGTGAGGCGCCATGGTGAGGAGCAGATCCGGTCCCATTTGAGGATAGTTACTCCTCCTTGGAGGCTCTTCGAGATTGCATTCTGGCTAACATTAGCAGCTCGAAGGTGAATAGCAAAATCTTCGAGGGTATCAGTCGGAATGACATACATAATAACTTAGTAACTGGCCTGCTATACTATTAACCTCTCCTTTTCACCCTCAAACCCGTCTTAAAATCACCCCAAGACAAGATTGTGAATTTATTCTAAACTTCGATGGCAGTTTTAGGAGAGCCACTAAGGACAGATCAAAGGTTGGAATTGGAGGACTGATTTGAATAGCAAATCGAGATTTGATTTGGGACTATAGTGGCCCAGCCAAGGCAGAAGATTCTTCTGATGCAGAGGCAAGGACCCTCTTGGAAGGCCTCAGAATGGCCAAATCTCAACAGCTCAGCTGCATTGCAGTGGAAGGTAATTCGGGAAATATTATTAACTGGGCTTCAGGACAGATTCTAGACCCGTGGGAGCTATCCCATCTGTTAGAAATTAGGGAGCTTGCCTCTTATTTACACTGCAGTTTTAGATGGATTCCTAGAGAATTAAATCATGTGGTTGATAATGTAGCTAAATCTGGGCTGGGAAGGGATTTTTTGTATAGCTCCAATATGCTTCCTTCCTAGAGGGCAGTCTCTTTGCTTTTGTTGTGCTTAAAAGGCTTCTACATCCTCTCATGTACACCCCCCTTTTCTGAATCTTAATGAATTCAGTTATCTTCTCTCAAAAAAAAAAAAGTTACCCATAGTCAAACCAACTTCTCTTAGGAAAAGGGAAAGGTTTTCTAATTCTGATAAAACAGATATGTTGTCTAAGTAGATATTTTTGGTTTACTAAAGTGGATTGCAAAATGAGAATGGTTGTTCTTGACAGCTTCCTCTTTAATGGAAGGCATTGAAACTCAAACAACCTTATTATATGTTCTGAAATGGTTTAAACCTGTAATGTTCTGGAAAAAAATGTTTTCAGAGAATGGCAGTTGAGAGTAGCCTGAGAAGTCATTTTAGTGTATTTGAGGGAGCTTAATTTGGGCGTTATCTGACATATCTCATAGGAAACATTATTTACGTGCTGCAACTACATTTTTTGCATAGTTTTATTCATGCTCTATCATCATTTACTTGATAAGATTGTTTATGAACTATCAATTTTTTTTTAGTATATGGATAAATGACTCAAAATATTGGTAAGAGCAAGATTAAAAAAGTAACATTATCAAGTCTTCCAATGAAGAGATGGACAGGATAGAAAAACTTTAAATCATAAGAAGGCCAATGAGTTGATGCAATTCGTTCAGGTAGAGAGAGAGAGAGAGAGAGAGAGAGAGAGAGAGAGAGAGGATGTCATCAGCGAATGAATTATTAAGGATGTCAGGAACTCCTTAACAGATGAAACTGAAGTTGGGTTGATTACTATACCCTTGAATATTTTATAGTTTATTTATTTTATCCACTGTAAGGCAAAGCAATGCCATTGAGTTCAGTCATTTCAGTCATTCTCAAACAGCTGTTCATTCATCAAAATAGGGTGTTTGCTCTGGATGCTAGGGATCTAGCTTCTTTGATGTAATGATGATGAAACAAAAGGCCTTCAGCTCCCTATGTTTTTCCAAACAATAACTACCAGTAAATCTCTCTTCAGCTCCCATCATCTTCCAAATAATAATTGTCAAACTAGGGCTGCAAATGGATTGGATTGAATCGGATATACCTAAATCCAAATTTGATTTGTTAATATTTGGATTTGAAAATATAACTGAGTTCATTCTTTGGCCAAAATTTAAGTTGGGTCAATGTGGGAAAGTATTTTGGAAGTAAGCACTCAAGTGGTCATGTGGTGCATTTGGGAGGAAAGAAACAGTAGGATTTTTGAGAATCTCTCTCTTCTTGGGAAGGCCTCAAAAGAAAAGTGATTCAGCTTATAGCCTCTTGGTCGGTTTCCTCCCTTTTCTTCCTAGGAATAAATCTTGATCAGCCAAATCTTCTTCAAGATATTGCATTCTTCAGGATCTTCTCATCAGATTTAGAACATCCTCAACTCAAGACATGTTAGTGACTTTTGCCTCAAGTTTGATGGCTGCTGCAGATGTTCATAGAGGGCCTGCTGGAGTTGGGGGGGCACATCACTGATGCTAGAGGTAATCTCTTATGGCTTTCTGTGGTCGTATAGGCACTACTGATGCCTCAGAAGCTGAAATTAGATCCCTTCTTCTGGATCCGAGGCTGGGAAAATCCATTGATTCTTTTCGTTTTAATCCATTTGAAATCCATTAATGCTTACCCATTTGCTGGTAGAAGGTGATACAAGGAATGTGATTGTGGGCCATAGCCATGATGGGGGTTTTTGGAAAATTTCCCATTTGCTAAATGAGATCTGGGAGAATTCTTCTGACCTTTGTTGTTGCTCTTTTAGATGATTACAAGGGAGATGAACTCCTTGAACGATTCTCTTTCAAAACTAGGGATGGACAGAAATGTTTTGTATAGTGCAAATACCTTACCAGTGTAAGTGCTTTGGATTTTTTGTTTCTTTTTAGTTTTTTTATACATCCTTCATGTACATTCCCCCTCCCTTTGATTAATTAATGAAAGTTACCTCTTTTCAGAAAAAAATATAAGGATTTGAATTGTATCTTATCCATTTGACTCGTATCAGATTTGGGTTGAATTCTGATTGCAATCGGACATTAAATATCAGGGAAAATCTATGATGCTGGAAAGGCATAGTACCGGAAGAGTCTTGACCAATCAAAACCCACCCATGAATTTTGATAGATTCCACTTGATTGGTTAACACATATGATACTGGTTGATTGGTCACAAATTTTTTGGATATCATGTCTTTCTGATATCATAGTCAAACCCTAAATATCATTACCTACATTCTCATGGTTTGCATGGTGAGCATAATGTTGGACTAGTGAAAGGGCACATTCTATGCACGTGTGCAAGTAAGTATTAACCATATATGATATGTGGTATTTGGATTTAACTTTTATAACATGCATGGAACCCAGGGCAACTATCCGCTTTATTATATAGATATGTTGTCATCTTCATTAACCAACAACTAGAATGGCAACTATATTATCTATTCCTGGAATTTCATCAACAACTTGACTGGCAATGATTTTATCCATTCCTGGAATTTCATCATGGATTGGGATTGTTTCATTGAGATTTTGAAGTTACAGGTGAAAGCAATACAGGCTTGCGGAGGTCAGATGACTGCTGATGGGAAGCGACCTCGAACAGGTGGTGGTATACTGTGGAACATTCTGAAAGTACGTGAACCAAAGGCTTACAAAGAGATAATGACAAAAGGAAAGGAGTTTGAGGTGTGAGAACCACCTCTATTACTTATTTATCAAAAAAAATTCACCTCTATTACTTCTCTTGCAGATAGATATTAATGTCATAAATTCATTGTAAAGTTGGAATCTATCTTAACCTATAGCTTAGTTATCAAGGCAACACTTAGGCGATAAAGCATTTTTTTGGGGGCTGCAGGTTGCTTTATGCCTTGTCTTGATGTTTTTGTATTGGAGGTATACAAATTTTAGGTGCAGTGCAACTAAGCCAGATTGTGTTGTATAGATAAAGGTGAAAAAAAGTATTATAACACACCAAATTTCAACTTAGAGATCCATAATAGAATACATTTGTTGTGGTGGGGTTTTAACTAGTGGCTTTCATCATGGTGTTCATTAGAATAAGCCACTTCTACTTCTCTCAATTCTGTAAACAAAACAAAGCATCATCTTTCTCTATCTATGTCAAATCAGGGCTCTACATCTTCATTTGTTTCTTTCCTTTCCTTTTCTTCTGTCTCTAATCACTTGTCTTTGTCTGTCTTTGTTTGTTTGTTTGTTTTCTTTATTCTTTGATCTCACAACATAAACAATATAAATATTCTTTGATCTCACAGCACAAACAATTCTTGCCTCAGACATACCCAGTATTTTGTTATAACGGATTCTGTATCAAGTGCTGGTTCTTGATGTCATCTAGGAAAAGGGTATTTTTGGCTCATTAAAAAACAGTGGTTTTGATTATCCAATATGCATGGTTACCTAGACCTTGGCTCTACGTCTTCTCTCCCAATTATGGATTATAACCTTGTAATTTCTAAATCTTATTTTGAACCTCCATTGCAGAAGCAATTAAGGAAACAAGGTATCAGACAACCGCTGGGGCAAAAGGAGGGCTCTTCTCAAAGATCTGTATGTGCATCTTCTGATGGGATTTCAGATCATGTTGCAGATGACTTGCCGCTTGCAACTAAAACACAAAGTGAAGCTGAAAGGAATGGTGCTCAAGGGAGGCGGACATCTGTCCTGAACAGAATACGGATACCTGTCGCTTATGAGGACCTCGTTGAGGAGGATCCAAAAGATGAATTTACTTGATCTTCTGAAACAAGGGAGAGAGTAGAATGTAAAGAGGCTTTTTAGGTGCCGATCTTGAGTTTTGATGATGAAATATTTGACAAGTTATTGGAGAACGTTTCATTTTAGAGAAATTTCCCCTTTCTGATGTGATGAGTTATCTCTTCTTTTACTTTGTCAAATAAATAATGAAAAGTAACAAAGAAAAGGAATAATATGATTTTCTAGTCTTTCCACTCGATCCAAGCACAAGCCTACTCGTCAACCTGCTTTGTAGTTTTTTTCCTAAACTTGATTTCTTAGATTTAAGGATTTGAAGACCTGCCTGAAATATCCATGAAGCATTTTTAACTTTGAAATAAGCTATTGCCTGGCGTCTGCCTATGTTTAATTAGTCAAGTAGCTCTAGAAACCGGCATGTTGTTTGGTGAAATGCCCATGTTTGTTTTATTGCATCGCCATTTATGCTTGCTTTTCATCCATTGATTTGTTTACCATAAGACATGAATATGGGTGGGTGGATGGAGCAGTGCAGCAGGTAGGAAAATGTGAATTTTTGTAAAGCTATTAAAAAGTAAAAATAATTATACTGTCAAATTTCACTATAAAATGCTTCTTTTAATTACAAAACTAACCATTCCCCAGATATAAGGGTGTCAATGGATCGGTTTTTGGATTGGACCCCGTTCAGTCTAAATTGATTGGATGGACCAATAAGACACATTGGATTGGATCAATCTGGTCCAAAATATTTTTTAGATTGGACTGGACCTGGTCTGTTCGTAATATATTGGATTCGGTTGGATTAAGCCAAATCTAGTCCCTTGATATAATATAAGAATATAGGTATCAATAGATCAGGTTTGGGTTGAAACAAATCTAATTCAAAACGAATTTGAACGGATTGGATGGTTCAAACATTGAATTGGACCGGTCTAAAATGATCTAAAATATTAATTGGACCTGGTCCATTTATAATGAACTTTTATTGGATTGGATCGAATTGGACCAAATCCAATCCAATTGATAGGGGTGTCCACGGTTCGGTTAATCGAACCAAGGCACTTTTTTGTAAACTGAACCGGTGGTACCCGTTTTTCTAATTCTCTAAATCGAAACTGAATCGGTACCACCGGTTAATCGGTCCAATTCAATGTCTGGACCAGTTACGGTTTTTTGGTTTTTTATATTTATAATATATATTATACAAATATATGTATAATATTATATAATAAATAATAAATGATATATAATATATTATAAATATTTGAAAAATATATAATATATATAATATATTTATAAAATAGATCATTATAAATATAATATAAGTATATACTTATATATATAATAAGTATATATTTATATAATACATAAAAAATATGTGACGTATATTAAAAATATATATCGGTCGGTTCGGTTAACTGTCGGTTTTTTTATAAGTTAATCGAAAACCGAACCGATCTTTCAGTTTTTCAAAAATCTCGAACTAAAACTAAATCACTCGATTCTATTAACCACATCACATTTTGCTGTTCAGTTTTCTTGGTTCGATTCAGTTTTTCGGTTTTTTATGGAAACCCTTACCAATTGACACCCCTTCAGATATAACTTTCTCGTTACCGGAAAAAAAAAATCAGATATAGCTTTCTAGGTTGCATCCAATTATTAGAAAGATAAACAAATATGCTATGATTGTAAATTTTTAGGCCTTAAAAAGGGTATCCTTGGCTCAACAACGGTGAAGTGGGACACAACTCAGCCTTGATCCCAACTCCCAAGTCCTAAGTTCTCAACCATTAGAGAAGACAAGGGACAGGTGGCAAGTTATTAGATACATCTACATGTCTTGTCACCTCTCCTGAGTCCCAGGTAGGATTTAAGCCCCGTCATACAGTTCTTTTGAGTGATGAACCGGCGGGAGTGCTCACAGATAGAGAAAGAAAGTGTTGCACGGGGAGAGAGTATGATGAAACTGACGAGAAAGTGGATGAAATTGAACTCTCGCAGGGATGAAGACGATAATAATTTATCTCTCCCCACTCGTGACGACCCATCTCTCGACGATTTCCGTCCAATCGACACTGAAGGTCTCTCTCTGTCTCTCTCTCTCTCCGGAAGCAAATTAAGGATTTCGTTCGTCTTTTCTTCCTTCGTTTCATTTGCTTTCAATCACGAATTTATTAGTGCTTGAATTGTTATTCAATTGATGGAACGAAAGTAGAGACAAAAAGATTGCAAGTTCAACTTAAATCTCCTGTATTTGCACTTATTATCTTCGAAATTTCACCGTCCTTTTCCTTTTCCTCGTTTTACACAGATTTATGTGTCACATGAATTTAACGTATCTTAATTATTTTCAACTACCAATATTCTCCTCTTATTTTCAACTTTCTTCTTTAAATGTTAGAAAAATTGATTATTTTGTTTTTTTTTCCCTCTTGATTTACAGAACAAGAGGAGCTGGTTCGGTCCTTAGAAAGGAGCCAAGCTAAACAGAGTTTTCTCTGGAAGGTAGGTAATTTTCATGTAAGCTCTCTCAGATGTGACTCCCATTCATGGTTTAATGGTTAATGAGTAAGGTTTTATTTGTTCTTGTAGAGTGTATTCGCGGCCCTTCTCTTTTGCTTTGCAGCATTTCTTGTGTTATCTATCTTTCATCAAGCTTCATATCCATGGGAATTGGTGAGAATTATTGCTTTATGGTGTTTTCAATTTCAGAAATTGTGAACATTTGAAATCCATTCCTTCATTTCTGTCAGCATTTGATTCGCATTACTGGAAGAATTTTACTTGAGAGACGGTTTATGAGAACCTTGTTGAGCAATAGACTTTGAAAAAAGGAGTCGCACAAAAAGTGAGTGGTTAGTTACTTTGCATCCACGATAACTTTTAGGCAATATCTATGATGCCAGACAGGTGTAATACCGAAGAACTTTCACCAATCAGAACCCCCGTAAATTTTGATGAATACCACCTGCTGATTAGTTGCCAATTTTATGATACCGGTTAAGTATGTGTTTGGAACAGTGGAAGTTTATTGACTAAACGTTTTGTACTTGATTTGTTTGGAAAATCGAGAAAAGCAATGATGAACCATTTATTGACACTTAGGCGCCATTAGACACCACATCAACAGTGAATAAATGCCTACCCGTTGGGGGAAGCACTAAAATGAAGCTTCCCCCAATGGTAGGCGTGCATATAAACCAAAATCTACTTTTGCAAATCCCTATGCGTATGGGGAATGCTGAAGTGGTGCCTATGTGGCAGTGTTTATTCAATAAACGCCCATGGTTCCAAACACACGCTAATTGGTTATAAGTTTTTAGTTTTTTTAAGATGTTATGCCTTCTGGTATCATAGTCTGACTCTAACTTTTATGCTACTCAAAATGAGCATCTATTTCTATATCCATTATTCGTTAAGTGACATCAAGTTGCTCAATCAGCTCACCTGACAACACTACTTCAAGCTTGACCAGTTCTGCACTGAGATTGACCTTTACTCTTTTATCGGATTCATGAGCCATGACAATGTGAACAATAACACTTGTTTTATTGAAATAGAGTATCCTTTGTCCTATCTTTTCTCTTTTCCACCATTTCTGTTTTGACAAGTTATTCCTGCTTTTGTCCTTGTCAATTCATCTGTCAATAGCTGCCTTTAACTGCACAAAGATTTCTACCTTGAATCTAGGTTTCAAATGATTCAAAGAGTGGCATGGCATGTAGGTTATGGGAGAATTTCCATCGACTGCCCTCTGCTTCATCACCTTCATTCGGTACTATGTGTAGGTAATTAAAGGAGGATCACTTTCTGGCATATAGCTTTTCAGCAATTTAATGGAACCCTTTACTACACCGGCATATGAAATTTCTTAATCTTGTAAAACCCATGTAACCTTTTCATGTTGCAAATTGCAATATATGGCATCAGATGAAATGCCCCATCAAATTGAGGACAGATGGAAGGAAATAATGACATATTAATGCTGGTGAATGAATGCTTCCTTCTAATTACTTTTACATAGACTGCTATTTATCATATTATGTAGAATGGTTCGGGCATTACTCATTATCAGTGCATGGAGGAAATCACTTGGGTTTTTTGTCTGTTGGCCACTGATGGACCTTCTGAGAGCTGTTATTTGCTGTCTGTTTATGGGTTCCTCTACTGAAACCATGATGGATATCTTATTTTATCATCAAGAGTTAATTATCATGCTTCTTACCTTTTTTTTTTTTTATATTGAACAGCGCTATCATGCTTACTTCATGGATGAGATTGAGTCATGGGTTGTCATCTCTGCAGGTTTTTCACCTTGCTCTCATTCTTCAATAGTTCTGGTGTTGTTGATTCATGTCATAGCTTTGAAATAAATAGATTTCATGCGCGCACACACACACACATGCAACTGGTGTTCTCTATGTTGATCTAAGCTGTTTGACGAAAAAGCTATTTTTATTTGATTGTTGTTTGTTAATATAGTTAATCAATGGTCTACGAGATGAACAGTGTGATGGATAAAAAAAACTAAGAACAGGTTGTCTTTTGTTCTGTCTGCATCCAAAGCATGTAGAATCCACTAATGAATAAAGTGCAATGTATTTAAATATCTTGCAGACTGGGTAGCTGTTTTATCCTGTTTGATGGCAATTATGGGGCTACTTCAAAGTTCAGAATCTCATCGACAATGGATTTGGTATTCCTGCTATGGTGGCATTTTACTAACAGTGTTCTGGTTATATTACATGCTGAGGTAAATCAAGTAGAATCTTTCCTCTACTTATCTATTTAACCATTGTCAAACCAAAAGAAAAAAAATATCTGCTTCCGGAAAAGTACGGAGTATTTAATGAATTTCATAATAATCGGTGAAACCTGTTATCAACCTCTATTAATTTATGTATTTATTACAGTTTGTTTCTCAATTCATTTGTTTTATAGCTCTTTTTAGGTTAGTTATTTGACTTGCCTAGTTGAGAACTGGAACCAGAAGTACACAAACCCTGTTCTATGAACCGTGTTTGTTTTCATGTGTAAAACTAAATCCCCTTGTTTGTTTTCATGTGTATATAGTTTTGGAGTAATACAACCTGTACATTTATCCATTTGGATGCTTTGTTATTCTAGGCTCCTATATTCAGTTCTTATTTTACTTTTCTGTTTATGTAATTTTATTAACATTAATATCAAATGTATGATAGGATGCCAAAATTCCGATGGGATATTATATGGCTCCCTTTTGGGCCTCTGAGGTATCAAATATCATATCCATGTATCCATCTACATATGCACCCATCTCCCCGTTTGTGTGTGTTGTTAGACTCATCCTTTTTCCGTATTGTTGAGATTGCAGTGGTGCTATAATATGCCTATATGTGGACCATCTACTCAGTGAGTCATCTGAAGAAGTAAGAAAACTACGTGCCTACATGTATGCTTATAAGGCCACCTAAAAGTTGAGGTTCAGGTTTGTTTTGTTCCTTCCGCTTTATAGCGTTTCAATGGTTGTTTCCGGAATGGCACAGTGGAGCCATTGAGAACATTTCATTCAATACAAGGGGAAACCCGTTTACTCTGTCTGCACAATGGGGATGCCAGGCTCTTGATACACACTACGCACTACTCCCGTTGATGGACCTGTTGGTTTCTTTTCAAAGTTGACCCAGTCGGGAAATTGTGGCTTTTTGCTTCTTTGTTCATTTCCTGGACGTTTTTGTTGTTTGTACTTTGTAGTTATAGAGAAATTGAAGGATCAAATGTAAAAGGTGGTTGATCTTGATTCTTAATTATATAAGCTCGTGTGGGAGATGGTTTGTCGTTGGCCTTAAGACTCCCCACCCCCCCTTCCGATCTTCCATGTCCTCTTACCAATTGATATTGAGAGAGAAGGCTGATGCAGGAAGAAGGAAAAGAGGGTAACCTTTATGAGAGGAAGCCAGTCACCCCCTATCATGTCGTAAGTTTGTCAATCGCCATTGTCATGATGATCAATGGTGGTGATTTTCTATGGAAGATCCACCTTGGCATGATTGTACTGGGCTACTGGTGATGGGTTTCATCCCTTATTCTCTTCTCCCTCTTTCTCTCACTATTCATGGTGGTTCTGGGTTTTGTTTTTATTTTCTTTTTCCCAAAATTAAATATTGGTCTTACGAGATTTTAGCTGTCGATCGGGAAAGGAGTTTGAATGGTTTAACAGTTTAAATATGGGGTCAAGTGTTTTGAGTAAATCAACACTACTCATTGATGGGTTTGGAGTTAGCCAGGGTGTCTTAACCTTCAGGTGACGGGTCGAATGGTTTAACTTTTTGAGTTAATAACGGCTTAAATCTATCTGATCATGTAATTTCCAGTCATTCCTCACTAAAATCCTAGAAAGGGTTGTTTCATTGGATAGATATAATAGATTAACAAATTCAAAGATGAATCTGGGGGCCCTTGGTAGCAAGGTTCAAAATATTGATACGCTTGATAAGTTGGTAGAAGCGTATCGGTATTTTTTTTTTAGTTTTTTAAATATGGTTTAGAGGGACCGGTTTAAGATCTGTCTACTCCTAAATCGATCAAAACCCCAATACACTTTTTGTAGAGGTGTATCAAGAAACTCCCGATACGATACGTATCGGTTAATATATATCGCTATTTTTGGTAGTTTGACATTTGCTCCATAATTCAAAGATCATCACGCACTATTAAATGGGTTTACACATGATGAGTTGAATGAAAATCAGTATGAACATAATAACCTGGCATTTTTACTTTGATAAAACTTTTTTGGAGCAAAAAAAAAAAGGGTTAAATTATATGGCTAGAAGCATCTAATAATATCAAGCCTGCATCCTCTGCTTCAAATTCAATATGTTCCACACAGAAAAAAAAATTTTCAATATGTTCCACGTCCACAGTTGGCCAAGTGGCTGTAGCACTTCCAAGTTCCAGTGCAGTAGGTATCGAGGTCAACTTGGGACAACCCGTTTACTACATTTGACAAGTTTGCTAATTGGTGTGCCCGTGTGGCTCATCCAGTTTAATCCAGCATCCACCGATAGGTCTTGATTATCCAAGGTTGTGTTTGGTATTATTTTTGTTTCTATTTGGGATTTACATATAAATTTTTGATAAAAATGGGCCATTGTTTGCATAAGAAAATTCCATTCTTGGTATTAAATGAAAGTACTATTGTCAATTCTTCATGAAATCCTCAAATTTGATATTTCTATTATAAGTGCCAACTTCAATCCAATGCATGCATTTTTTAGTGAAAATGGTTATATGATGTGATGAGACAAATTCTCAAAAATTTGTATTGAAAAACCCCAATGTTTACAGTAGATACAATAATAATATCAAACACAACCTAAATCTAATACATAAAATATGTGAAAATGGGCTTTGGTTTATCATTCAATTGTGGTTTTAAATTGGTTTGACAGTACTTCATATTTGTAATAATTCACATTTTCAGTTGGAATTTGGTTTTATCCTCACAAAACCGTGTTCATACTGCCCTTAAAGCCCTTTGCAGCCATGCATTGAGGACATCTTTGTATTTATATGTTTTTTATTCATGAGACATATTCTCAATACATAACTGCAAGAGACTGTGAGGACGGTTTTGTAAGGACGAATCTGAATTTTTCCGGTCCTAACCTAGTTCGGGCCTGGGCCGGGCACAAAACTTACGCCCATATCTGAACTTTTGTGAGCCAGCCCGGTTCGGACTTCCGGCGCTGGACCTTTCAAAACACTTCCTTTTATAGTGTGTTCTTAGGGTGTGCAGTCAGGGTTTACCTTATTCTTTTGAGTCGTCCCTTTTAGTCGAAACCCTAGCTTCCTTTCTCCTCTTACTCCTATCGCGCCTCAAGGTATTATTCTCCTATTCTAAAGTTGAATTTGAGGCTTTGTTTTTCTGCAATTCAGATTTTATTTAATGCACGAATCGACTAGACCACGGCTCTTCGTTTTGGTACTTGTGTGCAAATTCTTGAGTTTCTAATGTGTTTCATGCCTTCTCATTTTTCTCTCGGGCTATTTGGTTCTGCAGCTAAAACATTTATAATTTTATATCTTTAGCTTTGGTTTTTATTATCTATAACTTAGTTTTCTCTTGACAACGTTCAATCGCTAACTTAGTTTTCATTTTCCTACAATTTCCATCATATATGTTTGTGTTTTCTTGTTCTTTTGCTTCCCCGATGGGTGTGTTATGATTTGAAAATGGAGGCAACAGCTGTAGGATTGTGTTCTGCGATTGATTTATAGTTTTCTTTTATCAATGTTGTTACGGAGAATTAGCGCTAAATAGCTGGTTGAATGCAGACATAGTTGGAATTCCGAGGGATTGTGAAAATGGTGGAGAAAACAAGGGGCAGAAAGGAAGAAGTCGTTACTAGGGAGTACACAATCAACCTTCACAAGCGCTTACATGGCTGGTAAACATTTCTTTCATGGTTGCAACTAACTTATGTGCCTTTTGCCTGTTCCCGAACTCAATACAACCTTCTGCTTGTATAACTGAGTTACTGGAAATGTTAAATCATGCTTCAGTCTTGTTGGTTATTAGATGCAGCAATTATACATGTTTGTTCTGAATTAGGTTAGGCGTACTAGTTGGTTATTTGCGATGAAGTGTACTCTGAAGATTAACATAGGATTATGGAATCCCTTGTTGAATCGATCGAAGCATGTAAGCTTATTCCTACCGAGTAAATAGTTGTTTTTCTGACATCTACAGTAAACTAAGGAGGAAAAAGGGGGTGGAACTTCCTTTTCGCAATAAGATTTCTAAGAATGCGTCAGTTTAAATATGTGTCTGAGACTCTGAGATTGTTTTCTTTGTTTCCTTTTAATTTTTGGTAGGGGGTTCCTTTTTTTGGTTAGGTACGTGAAACCAAAACAAATTAACTGAAAGCTATGCTTTCTCCGTTCAGCAACCTAGGAATAAACCAACAGTATCAGTGATATTTAATAATTTCATCTCTTCGCCCACAAACTTATTGGTTAGATTTTTTGAATAGGTTCTAGTTGATATTCCTAAGTTAGCTTGATACTTCTGAAGGAGTTTGGTGCAGCAACTTGTGGTATAATATCCCTTTTGCACAGAAGAGCTGGTATGCTCAGATAGGGACCTTAGCTGACTCAGCATTTCCAGTACTTTGTGGCTTAAATGATGATGGGTCTCATGACCAAGAAAATATGTCCAGTGGCCCAAATGAAGATTAAATGGAAGGTACAGGACAGAAGATTAGGTTTAGTAAATCATCTTGGGTGAGGCTACACTGTAGATCTTGCCATTCATTGGCAAGCAAATTTTGTATATAACATTTATTATTGTTGTGTTGGGGCTAGGTAGGATGTGTATGCTATTCTTTTAAATTGGGTAATTTATATGTTCATTCTATGTATTTATAGTCATGACCTTGTTTCTAGACATTGGGGGATTCCCGTTTTTGAAACCCTTTTTGGTCATGTCTGTGACAATGCCTATGTCTACTGAGCCTTGTACTAGATAGTGCAGGTATATGTAGTAGATGTTATGCACTATAATAAGAAGTAATCATGTTCCTAGCTAGATGTTGGAGGCTTTGTCTTGTAGAAATTAACTCACGGGGGTATGTGTAGGGTTATTTTTTTGGGTGGGGGGCTGATACATTGTATCACTTTTGGTGCTTTGAGGCTGCTTGCTAGTTCCCTCTCTCTCTCTCTCTCTCTCTCTCTATCTATCTTCAAATGGAAGTTGAGATATCTTGGGTGCATTGAATACATAGAAGAGAGAAATAGTTGTAGTTGCATTGAATGCCCAATGTCATCATGGGTGCTATATATATATATATAAACAAGTTTTGTACTATAGGTACTAAACATTTTTTCAAGTATGTATCTAAAAGGGAAATTGATATTTGCAAATTATACCTTTGATCTAACTTATGACAATAATATAAGATCTAATTAGTAATATGTTCTGACCTTGTGATTTACAGCACTTTCAAGAAGATGGCCCCCAAGGCCATAAAAGAGATTAGAAAGTTTGCACAGAAAGCTATGGGAACAAAGGATGTGAGAGTGGATGTGAAGCTGAACAAACATATCTGGAGTAGGGGCATTCGAAGTGTCCCAAGGAGGGTCAGGGTTCGCATTGCTAGGAAGAGGAATGATGATGAAGATGCAAAGGAAGAGCTCTACTCGCTTGTGACTGTTGCTGAAGTTCCACCAGAAGGGCTCAAGGGACTAGAAACAAAGGTCATCGAGGAGGGTGATGAATGATCCATCCACATTTGTACCTGGGCCTTTTACCATCTTATTTGGGTAGGGGAGAAATCACAAGAAAAAATCGAGAAATTTTGATTGCTTCTAGTTCTTATTGACATTGCTCTGTTATTCACATCAAAACTAGAATCTTACAGTGGTTGTGGTAGTACTATTCTTCAATGGTTTTATGGCTCGTGGGTCAAATATTCTTCATGTTCTCGCCTTTCTTTTCATTAATTTGAAAATTCTAATTATGCTTAGTTAATATTTATTTAACTTCAACTAGAATGTGAAGATACCAGTTATATAATAAAGAGAAGATTTACCCATCTTCTCATGCCTACATTATTTTAGGTTGATATAGGTTGGAGGACTGCATCACACTGAATATAAGCCTTTTCTTTGGTTTGTCATCGAGTGTGGGAAATATGCTCTCACGCTTCAAGGCTTTGCAGGTCCTCCGTGTATGCGAAGGGTAACATGTTCACATTCTGGTGCTGCCACATAAAGCATCTATTCTGTGGTTTAGACAATTATTGCCCGTTTGGGAGGGTTTAAACGGGAGCGTCTTCTGGTGCAAGATGGGCCTTCCACGGAAGCCATGAAGCAGTGTTTATAAAAAACTTGAAAAAGCCTGAAATACGATTACATGAGCCGCGAGGGTTTCCTGGAGAAGTTGTTTTTCAGCGTGGCTCAATCAACACTAAAGCCCTCCCAAACGGGGTCTTAAACTTAACCTTTGGTGAGATGCTACCGAATAGGTGGGAACTGGGAACTGGCTGTCCCCTTTAGTCGCTTAAGAGAGTCCCCCCTATTGTCCTTTCTCATCTTGGGTTGCTCCTCAAACATAATCTATGCTAATTTCTCACTAAACAAAGAAGACGGATTGGATTTCCAACAAGGTGCGTCGACGGCCATATTTTGATCTTCCAAATTTGAATCATAGGCATTTAAGCAAATACAGGATGCGGCAGGGACACTAAATTAAAAAAGAGCAAGCTTTGAGAGTGTGATAAGGGGTGAGATTTGTAGTAGCTAATGAAGCTTCTCTTGGTGTTGTGTAGTGAATTCCGAGTCTAGGCAATCAATTTCTAGCTAGTGTATTTCTGTAATATATATATGCTTAGCAATGTGACTGTCAGTAGCTCATCACGATCAATCCATTCAGGGGAAGGGGGCCCATGACATTTCTAAGAAATAATAATAATGATGTCATGGCATGGCTATCTGACCAAATGGCAGCAACAGCATTGATCCCTCAAGTCTCAACCTTGGGCTTGTGCAAAAAAAATGCAAAGGTCAGCTCTCTTTAGATAAGATTTGTTGGAATTGCATTTTCTGACTTTTCTCCTGTAAAAAGGCAGAGAACAGTGCAGTCGTCCATTTTTGAAGTAGGGAATTTGCTTCTCCATGCAGTAACAGCTGCATCTACCACTGCTCTTGCTGCTTCCTTTTCACTCTTTGCAAGCCACACAATAGATGTCACTTCCTTGATGCTAAGTACATCCCATACCTACATCAACCGACACATGCTATCAGTCAAACACCATGAACAAAAAGGGTCTCAAATCTTTCCAACTCATCATTGTTGATGTCAAGAGCTGCCTTACCCCGTCGGTGGCAAGAACAAGAAATTGATCATTCACAGACAAACGATGATGGGTAATCTCCGGGATGGCAATTATGCCATGATTCTTTAGCTTGAAATCTCCGAAAGCTCGTGTCATGGCGAGGCCAGGAAAGTTATCGTTGGGCAGCCACACACGCTGAATGTGTGGCTCGTTTTTCAGTGAGAATATTCGGCCACTGTTCTTCTTTATTCGTTCTGCTTCTTCTACATGATCACATGCAGCAGCCATTTATTAATACCCAATACCCATTACTCAACTAATCGAGTAAGCATTATTATGCGTGCAGAGAGGTCTAAGGTCTTACTGGGTAAGCTGGGTTTTAAGTCAGTTGTCAGCTGAACGGCCACCAATCCATCTTCAGTCATGGTTCCCAAAATCGCCCTTGAGTCACCAAGATTCGCAATAACTAGATCTTCAGCCTGTTTAGTTTGTTTTTTGTTAAGTTGAAAAATCACAAATCAAATGCCCCCAAGACTAAGTGAACAACTGTATGTTGATTTGAAAAGGAAATGTAAACAAAGCAAATAAAGCAAACCTGTTTTATGATGACTACTGCAGTGGTGCCACTGCAAGAGCAATCCAAGTTCTCATGAAGCTTAAGTTCCTTGTCAATCACCTTGAAAACACTAAGACAGGCTTCTTTCCATTCACGAAATGTCTTGTTTGGCACCAAATCATCGCTTAATTCGTCCTCTTGATCTCCGTAGTCTTGGTTAACAGTCGCATTCAGCGCTGAGAGAGCATTCTTCCGATCTAGTACGAGCGATGGCAGCCGATTTCTGACTAGTTTGCTTATTACGTGGCCATTCTTTCCATGCCCATCAAACACCCCACAAAATGTTCCATCTTCTGTTCCGTATCCCTGCATTTTGAAATGAATCGAGGCGCTATAAGGGTCAGGACCCAAAGTTTTATTAGAATAAGCCAATAAATGATCAGAAATTAAGGAACAGAAGAAGCAAATTATCCACATTCCCCAGCTGATCATATCATGAATAAAAAGATTTTTGGTAGAAACTAAGCCATATTTTCAAGAACTAGAACCGTTTCTAAAAGAAAACAATTACCAGTTAGAAAACGAAATACAACTAACAAAACAATTAAGGAACTTGGAAAAGAAAGTAAGAAACTTGGGTTCATGATCAACAAAACCGCCTGTTCTGAGAGAACCCAGCCCATGAACGTACCTGGTAGAGAATGGCAGCATCTTGGTTCGGTCCTTTATTCCCTTGCTGAGAATGAAGAGAATCAAGCCTAAGAATTCTGTTATTTTGTAGAGCATCTTGGATGCGCACCAGATTTTCATTGCCACCATCAACTTCGTGGGTCTCTGCAGAAGCAGTGGATACACAGATTCCCATCTCAATTGATACAGTTCTCTTGTATTCTACTCGGTTTTAAAATCTGGTGATGACCGATGAAGCAGTCTTATGCACCAGGAATTCAAGGACCCCGGGATGCTTGAATTGCTTGAATTGACAAAAGGTATTGAGAGCAGGTCAAGAGGTGGCTCCCAGCGATCTGAGAAAACATCTCAGATCAATAATTTACATTTTCTTTAGTGGTTAGGTATTATTATAGTCTATAGATTACCCCAAGATTCACTAAAAGGCCGGATGAGGTGTAGTCTTGTCGGATTAGTGTCTTTTAAAGAATAAAAAGCAAAGTAAACTAACCCGAGGTGTCCCTCACCTGCATGTGCCTGACATGGAGATTCTACCCAGATGAGCTCTGAGCTCCATCGCTCATCATCTGTATGGAAACTGTAAAGAAATGGGTGGTTATTAGTTAACCAAATTCATGCACTTGCACTTTACAGATAGTGATTGAAAGGGATGGCCCCGAGTGGTGGTGAACATTCGGTCAACCTTGAGAGTGAAGCTTTGCAAATTGCAGTAGTAATCTTTAACTATTGCAGTGGATTTACTGTTTGGTGATCAAGATCATCTAATTAGATCGATTTTGTGGGGTCCATTTGATGATGATGATCAGCCCATATGATGCATGCGTCAAATACTTGAGAATGGTTATTATATATTCGTTGCTTTTGAAGAAAGAAAATGGGGAAGAAGACCTTGGCAAAGTAGTATTGGTGAAGGTTGTGATAAGAGAAAGTAAATTAAAAGCATTCTGTGTAACAGTCTAACAAAATCTTATTAAAGAAAAGAAAAAGGATTGTAGTAACTTTAGGCACATGTGAAAGGGAAAAAGAAGAAAATGATGAATCAATCTTACATCATCAAGTTTAGCATTCCATTTGGTCATGGATCCCAATTGTATGATTCTTACTTGCAGACAGGTTAAAGATTTTCTTTTTCTCTGCCACTGTCAAACTCAAGTGTTTGAAGTATGAAATAATACTTTCTTTTGGCTTAAAAAGGAAGTGAGAAAGCAACATTTTGATTCTAACAGCACCCATTTGTCTGCACTAGATCCCACAAAGGGCCACTGTAGATTGATGAAGACAGAAGCACACCCCTGGGCAGAGACACCATGGCTCTGCTAAGAAACCAGCTTTAAAGCTTTGAAATCACTTCTAATCTTTCCTTGTTTTTGTTGTCTGGTCCCTCCTACCTTGAAGGTTCATCAATCAAAGCTAAACAGAGTTGGAGCACCTCTCCTACACAACAACATAAAGAATTGAAGATGCAGTTGCAATTTTCAATAATAGATTCAATTAGAAGGAATCAAGTCTTGTGCACTATTCGGATAATAAACATATCGAAAAAATATTATTTGGATTACGTCCCAGTTCCCCTCTACTCTAACTCTGAGTCCGTGTCTTACGCTTTCCAACCAATAATAATTAATTCCTGTTTTATAGTCTTAGTGGGACTTTGTATCAGGTGCAGGTCTGACTAACGTAGGAAAGTAACATAATGGGTACGTGACATCGCAAACCTGAAATTTGGGAGGTCTATACTCTACAGGAGATCCATGGTTTTAGATAGATTTTACAACTTCATTGAAATAAATTGGGTTGATTGGTAAAATATTTATCATTAATTTTCTTTGCCTCAGATATCAGTAACTTAATTAGATTTAAATTCCACCACTTTGAAGAGAGAAAAAAAAAATTGTACTATTGAACTTTTTAACTTACCCACCCAATCCTATATACAAAATCAACAAAAAGAGTCCAACATACTGCAGCCCTTAGTCCCCTCCACATTGTCCTTCCCCTTTTTATCCGCCACCTAAAAAAAGAAGGGGAAAAAAGGCCCTGCACGTCTGATGGGGGATTCCAGCTACATCCAAATAGGGAGAAGGCCCATTCCCAAATTGACCTCGCAAAATGGCAAGACACCAGTAGGTGAAAGCCAATCTCCCCTTCCGCTTTATAAAGAACACACCACTGAGGTGACAAACAAGTATTGGGTTTCTTCTTTTGGAGTAGATCACCAGTGTTGATTCTTTCCAGACAGGCTTCCCAACAAAAACTACCAACCCTAGGAGATATTGCTCTGCACCAAACCTCATCAACAGGGAAAGGGGTGAAGGTAGGACTGGTGGACTGACTTAAGACTTTGAAAAAAGAAGCACAAGAAAAGATGCCGTTGGGGGCAGGTGTCCAAATTCTAGAATCCGCCCTAGTAGGGTCTAAGACAAYGTTATCAAKWAGTRCARTAAGRCTCRAAATACTGTCGAAGTCTGAGTCCCTCAAATCCCTTCTTAGACCCAAGTTCCACCCAATCCCAGAAGTGGAAAAGGACGGGGTGGTGAAAGACGAGATTGACTCATTTTTCAAATCAGAAAGAGCATATAAAGAAGGAAACTGATCCTTTAGAGGGGCACTCCCCACCCAGGTTTGTTCCCAAAATTTTATGGAGTTACCGGAATTCAAATCATACCCAATATTAGGGGAGAAAACTGGTAGCATGTCATGAATGGCTTTCCAAGGAGAATTGTTTGTGGTCCTAGATCTGATTCCAGCGTCCCATCCATTATGCTCTAGCCCATGTATACTTGCCACTATTCTAGCCCATAGCTTCTCCTTCTCCATAGGGAATCTCCACAATCATTTTCCCAACAAAATCATATTCCTTCTCCTAATACTCCTAAGCCCCAAACCACCATAGGTCTTACTCCTACAAACTATCTCCCAGTTAATTCTATGATCCCTCTTCTCCTCTCCCGACTCCCACAGAAAATCTCTCATTAGCTTCTCCAATCTATTAGCAACCTTTACTGGGATTTTAAACACCAACAGGAAAAAACCAACCTACCTATCAAAACAGAGTTCACAACTCCGCCCCACAACGTCCCACAGAACATCCCCGCCATGTATTGAGAACATCTCACAATGATGACATCATCCGTTCTGGTACAATCATCGGGAGATGTTCCCAATACAGGGCAGGGATGTGCTGTGGGACGTTGTGGGGCGGAGATTTGAACTCATCAAAACAAGTAACTTCATGGTGACAGTCATCCGTCGTCCACATAAAAAAGGAGGCTACCACAGTAGCAAGTTTGTTTGGATTTACAGTCGGCATTGTAGAAGTAAAGATGGAGGTGTGACCCAGAGTATCGAAAAGTCAATTTGAACAGATATGTTAATGCGGCGTTTATACGGGTATTAACGTCAGAATCTGATCATGGATGCAGGGCAAACAATCCACTGAAAATACAGGTTACTGTGAGCCCATCATTCATTTAAATCATGTATAAGGATGGCACTGACAAAAGAAATCATGTAAAAGAAACAATTATTGTAATTTTTTCTACTTGGCACCTAGAAACATTCTGTGAGGAATAAAAAATAAAGCTTCAAATGGGCTATGCTAGATACTAATGAAGAGCAAAAATCCAGCACTGAACTAACATGGGCACTTTACTTGCTGCATGAAAAAGCAACCCATTCAAAGCTGGATATGAAGTATGGGCATATAAAGCAAGGCTGAATCAGAAAGGGTTTCATTTATAAAGGCAATTTTAGAGATAGGGGTATAACGTATATGCTTGAGAAACTATAGTGATCCTGTGGAGTGCACCATGCCCCTCATTCAAAGCTGAAAAAACGATATGTATCGGTTGAATCTGGTTCTGATGTGTTCTTGAGTATCAGTATTACTAGGAAAATGTGATCAACATGAACAAGTACTGAAATAAAATATATCACATATGAGGAGGTGAATAGATATATGTAAGTTCAAATATCTTCCCTCCAAGGTCTCAACCATTGTATACAGGATAAGATTTTTAAGGGGTTGGGGGGTAGGTTATAGTTGTTCTCCACAAACACACTATCTTTCTGTTGACAGAACCGATGCATTACAAAACCAAAGAACTAAAAGCAATATAAAATTCAATACCACAGTGCTTGAAAATCATTGACCGGATACAGGAATACTCTCTTCACTAGGTGTGGAATCAGCAGCTTGAGACTTCTTTGTGAGGGACTTGGGGATGTCAACAAAGTCTTGTATACACCGTTGATGTGGGTGTGACAGCAGAATACACATTTGGCGGAATAGAACACGTGTAAGCCCCTGGCCATGCTCAAATATGTAGCCTTCATTCTCGCTAACATGCTCAAGAGAATCCACGAGTGCATCATATACTTTCTGGGGGCAGTTGTCAGGCCCAGGCTTGTCATGTAGGTAGATGACATCCAATGTGAATAGTTTCTGGTTTGTAACCCATTGATGCTGTGGTTGTACAGACGACCTGCAATATACAAGGATCTGAAAGAGGATTTTGTTACATTGCATTCATGAGAAAACAAATAACTCAAAGCATTTTCCAAATTAAAGTGACAAGCAGGTAATCGTGGATAAAAAGCAATCACATGACAAAGCATCTAAGGCATGGTTGTACTTTCTTTCTTTCTTTTTATTTTCTTTTCTTTTATTTTTTTTGAATTTAATCCCAGCACTAGAACCTACTGACATATTTTAGTATCAGCTTAATGATAAAATAGTAGGTATCAACCTTTTTTCGGTGTAGGGAATCAGGTATTTACTTGAAGAATAGGAAACAGTAAAGTCTCCTTGCTCTTAAACTTGCAAATGATATGCATCGTATAATGCTTTGACATCTACAACAAGACTAAGCATTATTACAAGGATTCTAACAATTTGCAAATGATATGTCAAGTATCCCTCTGTAACTCTTCTTGGTATAGTAAATAGAAAACTTAAAATAGCAAATGCCCAAGTGTGAAGAATTTCCCTTTCTAGAGTCAATCTTGGGCTTGAAGCATTGTTGCTGTCCTGAACAAGCTCTTCCAACAAATACCAATGTTTCTCTACAAATATGAAAATTTTTTGAATTTCTAGTGGCTTTTAGGGTAACCAAGATATCACCAAAGATGGTTGCAGAACATACAAGCACTCAGAAGTCGCTCCAATGGTGGGCTTCATTAAAAATGAAAGAACAGAAAAAGAAAAGGATGGCTAACAGAGTCTCATTGCTAAATTCAAATTTTCTTGTTGAAGTTTCACCAAAAAAGAGAAAAGTGGAGTCTCACCAGAACCAATGGGAAGAAGAATCCATCCTTAAAATGAAACAACTTGCAAAGCTCAAATGTTGAAAGTTTCACTAATTTGGTGCATGGGGGTAAATCACTATTTAAAGGCTAGGAAAGGAAATCTAAGTTTGCAGAACGAGGTTCCTGCAAAAGACAAAAGCTATAAATATCTTCTGAACACTCTTCTAGAATATTCCTCATTCTGGACTATTCACTAATGGACTTACTAAGAAGCTCAAGTGGGCTTGAACTCAGGGTTATGGGTCAAGAATGGATTGTGGCTATGAACCTTGAGTGCAACAAGGCCACAAAGCCTCTTTCCTGAGAAATAACATTGGGGACCTTCATGTTTTGCATCCAAGGGCAACATGGGGGGTCTTGTTTGTGCGTGTAGAAGTGCATTTTCTAGAATTATCGGTGTATGATAACCAGTCTGGGGTAATCCATCTTTATCATTGTTATGGTAGAGCATTTTTGGTACCTTCCTGATCTGGTACTTCATGGGCCAAGTGACTTACCTGTTCTATGGCCTCATCAGCATCAGTTTTATTTACTGGTGTTTGGTCTATGAACATGGTTACATGGTGTCCATGTGTTAAGTCAGATGTTGCACTTGATTGACTAGTTCTATTAGCAAATCATCCCATTGTTGTTTAGGAGCATAATGCGTTCCACTATAGTATTATCTAGTTATCACTATATTGTCACAACATTTCTTCTATTTTTGTACTTCATTTACTCATTTAGTTAATTTCCTGTTATTAGTGTGTATAGAAATTCAATACAATATATATACATGTACAAATATTACATGGTCGCCAATAATATATATATATATAGAGAGAGAGAGAGAGAGAGAGAGAGAGAGATTACATGGTGTAAAGAAAGGTGCGGAAGTTAGGGGTTTTGGAATTAAAGGAGTAGTAGATTAAAGCGGTCATAGAATAAGGTGAGCTGCAGACTGAAAGGGGTTGCTGAATGAGATGAGCGGCAGAGTTAGAGCTCATGAAATGAGGTAACAAAAGGATGTTGCAAATGAGGTCACTGGTGGAATGAAGGGGGTTGCAGAATGAGGTAAGTGGAGGAATGGCAGGTTGCAGCATGGAGGTGTATGATCATGCTGAGAAATGGGCAAAGTATATCTGAAGAATGATGAGGTAATGCCACAGAAAATTCGCAGAACATGCTCAAAGAAGAATCGAAAAGAAATCAACAAGCTTTAATAACAAGCAAAGTCCTGAGGAAATAGGAGAACTTGCTCTGATTCCAAAGATGATTCAAGTACAAAATCTAAGGTGAGATTGTGAAAATGCTATACTAAAATGAACCTCAAGGGCAGTTTCTTTGCTGAAGTTGCAAAACTACCAAAAGCTCAAAAGATACTCCAATGGTAGGTTTCATAAAAATGGAAAGAAAACAAAGAAGAAGAGATGCATGAGAGAAAAGAGTAAGGATTCATAGTTAAGTCTTACTGCTTAATTACAATCCTTTAGTTCAAGTCTCACTAATGATTAACCAAAAGAGAGATGAGTTAGAGAAAGAGACATGACCAGGGGTACTGAATATTGAAATTCATCATCATTATCATCCAAGCCTTATCCCAACTATATGGGGTTGGTCATATGAGTGGTATTTTTCCAGTCTGTTCTGTTCAATGCCATATCCATTGTTAATTTATTCGTGCTTAAATCACTTCTTATACTTCTACCCATGTCCTTTTGATCTATCCGTTGCCCTTCTAGCCCCTTCAACTTGTAACAAATCAAATCTTCTTATGGGTGCTGTTGATGGTCCTCTATGCACATGACCAAACCATCTTACAACCACAGAATAATATAAGGCAGGTTAAGGAGAGTATTTGATTAGCACAGTTTACAAGGAAATTCATTTTGTGGTGGTTACAAGATGGCAGGCTTCTTTTTGGTGGCATAGAGAAAGTTATTGTATCAGAGAAAGGCGGATATTAGTAGGATGTTTGAGGTCAGATTTGAAGGAGGTTATTTTTGTGAGGAATCATTTGAGATTGTATTTGTTGTTGTTTTTTTTTTGTGCTGATTGGTGTCTTCCTCCAGTGAATGATGGGGTACTAGACTACTAGTATAATGTTGTGCCTGAAGAATTTGATTTGGAGATTGATGTGGTACAAAAGGTATGATGGAGTACTAGTATAATATGGTGCCTAAAGAATTTGATTAGGGGATTGGTGTAATACAAAAGGTGGTGTTATTTTCTTCGAAATGGGGCATTTATGATTTTTTTTTCCAGAGATTCCTTATCACCATTACTTGCTTCATTTTTCCTTTTATTGAATTTTCTCTTTACCATTAAAAAAATTGAAATTCAAAAATGTAATCTAAGGGATAAGAAAAGCTCCACAACTGATATAAGCTTCAAGCTTCATATTCTATTCCATTTAACATCCATGCCCCAGAAGAAAGAAAAACTGACAATAACTACCTACTAGCTAAAGGTTTTCCGAACACTGATGCCCACCTACAGTATTTGGAACTTTGGGGATGATTTCATTATACTCAGCATCACGCTCTTTGAGTTGAAACCATGCACCATGAGGGAATCAATAAATTAAAATTACTAAAAAGGAAAAGAGGTTCTAAACAAGTTTGCTATCAGAAATATTAACATGTAAGGGAACCAAGAATTTGAAGAGAAACATAGTGAAGAAACAAATACAAATAATAAATGACACTAAACTTCAAAACTGCCTCACTCCCAACGTTTTTCTACTGTACAATTTCAAGCGAAGCAAGGTAAGGATGTTTCCATAACATTGTCAGTAAATACATGAAAATAAATTAAACATTATCCAATACTCACCACTCTGAATATCCGACCCTGCGAACGTGATTTCTTTGCTTCATGGGCTGCTACCCGGAATAACTGTGTGAGGTCAGCATGACCGTATGAGGATTCAGCCAAGAGCATCCGGGTGGCAGCAATTGCAGATTCGACCTCATTGCTGAATTCCCTCCGCACCTTCAAGAATTTGAAAAATATACAAGAGGGAACTTTCCTCAGCTATATAAACCCCACCAAAATGATAAAAGATTGGAGCTACAAGAATAAACATCAATCTTTGGATATTTCCAACTAGTCCAACAACTACTAGGATTAGACCCATCAAAATTACTAGAGGATGTTGACAAGAAGACTAACGAGGATTTTATAGAAGTCTGGCTAACAACAGTTTTGCTGCAGAAATGATCAATTTCATGAACCACCAGTCAATTTGGGAAATACCCATCAAAATTCTCAGAGAAAAACTGTAATTCGATTTAAAATTTCCAGACAATTAGTTTTCGCATTTCTTTTCTAAATCACTGTTTCCAGATGCACAATAATCACTAGAAAACAATCACAGCGTCTAGAACAGATTTCGTCTAAATAGGATGGAAAGAGAGTAGTACCCAAGAAAAGGATTGACCGAGTGAAGAGAAAGCGAATCGATGTTCGGGATTGATGGTGAGCTTGGAATGAACGAAGAGGATGATTGCCTGTTTGATAGAATCCAGCCTCGTAAAGGGTCGGCCTTTGGGGCCTGCAACTTTCATTTCCACTTGAGATTCAAGGTCGACATCTATACAGAACAGTATGTCCTCGTTGCAAAAACGATGTGGTTGCAGAATGTACGGGGGAGGTAGAGAGTTCACACCTTCCATCGTCTCCATCGCGCTCTATCTTTGCTCGCTCGCGGCTGTAACCGGGCTTTTTACTTTCCATTACATTAAACGCTTGATCTGGTGTTAACTGTGTTAACCATGGGAGTTCACATTCGCGCCCCATTGGCTTTCCACTTTCACATCTCAGCGTGCATAGGGAACATCCCATCTCTGTGGGGCGCAGATGCGATGGCTCAGTTGGTGGGATCTCTGGCTCGTTCTATCAGTTTACAATACCACTGCCACCAGCGTTAGGGGATGGGTTACCCTCTTGTTATGTTGTGCAACCCCATGAAAAAAATGGGAAAATTCCCGTGGCTCGAGTGGCAATTTGATACCTAAATTTTAAAATATAACAATTCAGTACCTAAATTTTAAAAACATGAAAATCTAGTACCCGTTGTTAGTGGACCGTCAGTTATATATATTATGTGATTTCATATACAATTTAAAACTTTTGAAAATATCAAAATTATCCTTAGAAATAAAATACATTATTCATCATCTTCTTCTTCAAGAAGATGAAACAAAGCCCAAGTTCACTGTCACAAACACCACAAATGCGATATTTTCTGACAAACCCACTCATTGGATGGTGTTGGAATTGCATCGTTCTTGTTTTTTTATATTCTAATGAGAATTGTGTCAAGTAAATCCCTAGTATAGATGTGGCGTGCCCAAGGTTCCAGCTCCTAGTCGGGCCTAATTCTTTTGTGTCTTGGTTTCCCAACCAATTTCATTGTCTCACCTAAATCCCCATCGGATGAAGCTTCAACTGATTTGGTAAAGGAGCTCGAAAGATCAACATGGAGATCAACACCCTCCTGATGTTGTCGTTGCAGTTACCTACCTCCAAGGTTCAAAATATTGATATGCTCGATACGTTGGTAGGGGCATATCGGGTAAATCGATACTACTTTTTGGTGTTTTTATTTTTATTTTTTTTGCAACCAGTTCAGGGGGTTGATTTAGGGCTCCTCCACCCCTAAATCGGTTAAACCCCGATACACCCACTGTAGGGGCGTACCGGAGGGCTCTCTCTCTGTCCTTCTCTTTTAACTAATCGTTCTTGTTTAGTTTTTCTATTTGGTTGATTATCTCTTAGAGACAAAAATTAAAAGGGATGAAAAATTTGACGATTGGTTCTAATTTGATCAGATGGTTGATAAAGAAAATTAAATGACACTTGAAGGGCATTTGTGTCTTTTCACATGCCACTTAACAAATGGTTAATGGTAGGTACTAGATTGTTGCATTTTGAAAGTTTGAGTAATGGATTGTCACATCTTAAAGTTTGGGGACCAAATAGTCGCTCGAGCCAAAGTACAAGGTATTGATCAGGAATTTTCCCAAAAAAATAAAAAATAAAAATCCTCTACTCATATCATATGGTGGCTAGGTCTTTGGGTCAAGTGGTATAACAAGTATCTAAAAACCCCTTTCCATTATGAGCATGTAGTCAATTTTGAACTTTTAAAAGATTATTTTTGAGATCACATTGCACCTCACATGCACATCTCAATGTGCATTGGGAACATCTCCCGAAATTGTTAGTGGGAGATGTTCTCAATACACGGTTGGAATATGTTGTGAGATGCCCTCTATGGGACACAAATGTGAATTCATCACTTTTAGTTCTCTCAACTGCATTGTACTTCTTTTCTTCTCTTTCCTCTCTCTTAAACAAATAAAAGGAAAAAAAAGCAAAAAAAAAGTATAGGAAAAGTTCAAATTTTAAGTTTGAGATACAATAAAAGGGGGGTAAAATAGTCTCATAAAAGTAAAAAAATGACTGAATTATAATCACAAGAAGAGGGTCTTGAAATCTAAGAATATAAGTTTGCCACAAATGAAAGTTCCGGGACCTAAATATTAATAATTCTCAAAGTACATGATAGTAAACCAATGATAAAGTGAGACACCTAATATCATTAATGTTATCAAAATCTGTAATGTAATTCATAAATATACCTTGTGAAATATAACTACAAAAATATATTAATTAAACCTTATGCCCTTGGTAAGTTATTAATTAATAACTATAAAAATATATTAATTAAAATTTGTATTAGATTCATGAGAATATAGAAGATCCATGACACGAGCCATGTGCAGCTATTATATTTTAATGACAAAACTAATTATTTTTTATTATATTATTTTTATTTTTGTAAATAATAAATATGTTATTATTTATTGTAAATTAAAATATTAATTAATGAATTATATAAATATATAATCATAATTTAAAAATATTAGTTCCATTAGAAGTTCTAAGATACATATTGTATGCAAATCATCAAAAAAAATAAAAAATCATTTTTAATATAAATATGGATTGATGGATTTCATAGATAATTCATTTCATTAATATTAATAAAATACTTAATTCAATGATAATATTTTAAGTTTTGGTTGAGCATTCACGTATAGCATTATTTAGTTGGATTACATGTATCTCTTAAATTTTTTTGGGCAAATTTTTTAAACTATTCCTACTATTTAGTTAATTAACAAACAATATCTTTATTGTTTAATTATTGTCTTAAATCACCTTACTGTTTTTGACAATTGTCATCACGTTAAATGCTAAAGACACAAACAAAATGTCAAATTTTCCTTCCATTATTCCTCAAATTTTCAAAATAAAATACAGCTGATGAAAATTTTATTTACTGTTTAATGATAATACTTTTAAGTTGTTAAACATTCATGTATAGCATTGTTTAGTTGGATACTTGGGTTACAACTTACAGTTGACATCCTTTCTCACAATTGACATCTTACAACTATCTAGAAGGACCGGCGAAGCTTGGTTTTCTCATCTTTGCAACCCGAACTCTTGCTCCAGAACTTCAATCCTCTAGTCCGAAGGCAGTCAGGATATGGATCTCGTCTTCGAAAAAAGTTGCATGAATGGGCTTTTCTTGGCATCGAAGGTTGATTTTTCCGGCAATTTACAGCGGCCCTGTCTCTACTACTTCTTCAATTAGTGGATGGGGCCACCAATGGGGAAGACAAGAGGCTCTGCAAGTAATCGCCGCTCAAGCGGTTGATCTCGAGACGGAGGTATTTTGCCTGCAGCAAGATCTCGCTTCTGAGGCCAATGACAACCACTTCTTCAATCGCTAACCACCGGTTTCCAACTCCTGAGCCGCTCCACATCTACAACTTCTACTCCCTCCTTCCCTCTCGATCTCTTCCCGTGTGGTGATAAAACCACTGGTTTCCAACTCTAAAGCCGCTCCATATTACAACTTCTACTCCTCTCTCTCTCTCTCCCTCTCTCGAGCGCACCCCCATCACCCTGCGAGGCAAGGTTCATGACATCTTCCTCATTCCCACCTACTTCAGGGCTGTCACCAGCTCGACCCTTCCTAATCCAGTGCCCCTCGCCCAACTCCTCCACCAAGCCTTCCCTTTCCTAATCCACCCACCAACCCCTCGCCTACATTCTGTGCACCCATGGTGCATTAGACGAGTGCACCCTCGAATGAGAGGCGAACATATCATCTCATCCGTCTTAACTGCGAATTAACGGAAACATTCTCCATTATCCGTCGTTCGGTTGGTTGAACTGGCCATTTTTTACGCTCCTTTCCATTTTTTGACTCTCCTCCACCGAACCCAAGCATCCATCGGCGACTCATTGCACACCGACGCATAAGCCACCGACAGCAGGAAAAAAATCCACCGTCCCCCCACTCCCCCTCCCCTCCATTATCCCGTCCGATACTCGTTCATTCTTTTGAAAGACTCCATCAGGTTTTCGTCGGGAGCTGTTCCAATTCGGCACACTCTCTGTATTTATCGGAAATAAGACAGAAGGAGATGTTGGAGAGAGAGATAAAGTTCGGCTAAGCAATTAGATCGAGAAGACGTTGCCTGAGTGGAGAGATAGTACAGCGTTTGAAGATAATTGATATGAAATGATTTCATCCCTCCAAATCAATAATGCTTAACAGGGTTTTTTATATTTTGAGGGAGGGAGCCCAATTGCAGTGGAATATTACAAAATCACATTGTGGCGATACTGATTTCCGCAACAGCCGTGCCATGCCTTCCTGTCCCACCATTGCTCCTTTCTTCTCCGCCGATGCCCCTGCCACGATCTTCTCGTACCTGTCACTGCGAGCACTGCCAACCGCCACAAACGCCACCAACACTGCCCGAACTGGCCCTGCCGATTCCACATACGACCCTTTTTAGACCTTCTGTTCGGTATCCATTAAAGCCACCCTAGATGGGCATCCACTGTACGGTGCGTGGGATTTGTTTGCCACCTCAAGTAGTAGATCGTTGGGACCGAATCTCTAGGGCAATGTGACGGGATAATGGAGGGGAGGGAGAGTGGGGGAACGGTGGATTTTTTTTTTTTGCTATCGGTGGCTTATGCATTCACAACACCAGGAGCAGTAAGTCACCAATGGATGCTTGGGTTCAGTGGAGGAGAGTAAAAAATGGCCAATTCAACCAGCCCAATGACTGGTAAGTGATAATGGAAAAGGTTTCCATTAATTCACAGTTAAGACAGATGAGATTACATATTCGCCTCTCATTCGAGGGTGCACTCATCCAGTACACCCATGGGTGCACAGAATGCGGACTCAAAATATTCTGGTATTGACTTCACTACAAAGTAAAGTAGAAACCTGGGTTTGAATCCTGCTGTGCTTTCACCAGGGTTGGAAGAGTTTGGGAATTTGGGGGAGGCCTACCCATTTGTGTAGCCTATTCATCTGGCAGAAAAGAGAAACTAATTTGGGTATAAACTTCTGAAGTTAAATTTCAAATTGAATTAACTTAAGCCTTTTTAAATTTCAAATCTATTCCAATAAATCACAAAACATACAGTAGTATTACCACTGAACCCAAGTTTCTCGAATGACAAGCTGAAATATTAACTATTATGCTACGTGTTATGGTTTATTGGGTCATGAACCAGTTCAAACAAAACAGTTTATTAAATACTAATCTAATTTGCTTTTTTTTTTCATCTGATGACCTATAAACTCCGCCATTTCCCAATCCCAAAATTTCTTAAATGTACAATGGTGGTTCATAGTACACAGACTATTGAAATATGTATTTTCTATTTATTTACACCTTATTTATAATCATTTTGAGCTTCAGATTTAGTTTCCCTATTGCATTCATGTGTATTATAATTTTCCTATTGTACTCGTGTAATTTCAAAGCATATCCAGATTTCTCTTGGATTTACCTTTCCAATACTATTTGCCATATTGATATTTTGAACGTCTAGCTGTTTTCAACAAGACATAAAAGTGTCCTATTTGTTCACCAAGAGAAAAAAGATGCACTACTTATAAATTGAAAAAGAAAATGTGATACAAAAATGACACAAGAACAATGATCATATGTTCTTTTCTAAAGAAAGCATGGGATCGATGATTATACATTCAGATACCAAGCCTTGAACAAGCACGTATTTGATTGTAGATAACATTTCTAGTTCTCCAGTGAGCTAATAATAATCTCTGAACCCACCAAGAAATCATTGAAGAACTTGGATCCCTGGGGGTCTGTATGCGCCTATTTTTCTTCACAATTAGGGATAACCTCTTTTTTGTTGGTGATTTTCTATGTCACGTAGTACATGGCCTCTGCTACAACAGTCCCTCCTAAGATTTCAAGGAACTCCTAGAATATCGCCACAAACTGAAGGTCAAAATTACCACAGCTGCAATTCCGGATAAAATCTGTCAACATGGAGATGGAAGTAAGTTTCGTGCTCAAGAAATGAAGATCTACTTCAGACTCAGAAAAACATCTTATTGGATAAAATTGCCTCTAAGATGCCCTCTTATCGNGGGGGGGGATGCCAGAAAATATCATATCTCATATCTCAGATAAGTAAAATAATTAGGTTCCCAGAATGTAAACCAGATTGGGACTCAAATTCCAATCGTATTATAAATTGGCCTTGAATTTTCCAAGTAATCCCTTGGAACCCAGCTTCAGATCTTCCATAAAAATTTCTTGGTTTAAACAGAAAGGACCACTCTTTTTACTCAATAGATAGATAGGGGTCCTTGCTGTGTTAAAGAAATGACAGACAAATAATTGATACAGCACAATGTCAGTATACAAGTGACAGATCACCTTTGCATCTTTAGAATATCTTTTTTGTGTAGATTGGAAGTATGATTTGAGTAACTTCAAGCAAGATATCTGAGGCATAAGAATGACTACACTGTACTGTTTTCTGCATGGATATGGGAGTATTCTCTGTAATGCCAACTGTGCAGTCGATGGTTCCAAAGATTTCCTAACTTTAGTGCGGCCCTGATCTTGGACCTGCAATAGAAAAGCATTAAGAGTACGTGACCAAGTATGGAATCATGCAGTCTCATCATGTATTACAAACATCCATGCAGTATGGACACCCAGAAGGAATAACTGTGATATTGTTAAAGAAATCTTACTATCCCCAGCAAAAAAGATCAACACCAGCAGCAGAGGGAAGTGAGACAACACAACATGAAAAGAAAAGTCCTACTGGACATGCACATCATTATTGATATCCATACCAGAGAAAGTAAATCAGTCAGCAACATCTGTATGGTATAATATATTCAAGGGAAAATTCCCAATTAGTACCCTGTACTTTGGGCCTAGTGCCACTTTGGTCCCCGAACTTTAAAATGCGACAATTCAGTACCCAAACTTTCAAAACGTGACAATCCAGTACCTGCCATTAACTAGATGTTAACCAGCTGTTAAGTGGCATTTGAAAAAGACACAAATGCCCTTTCAGTGTCATCTAATTTTCTTTATCAACCATCCAAACATTGACAAAAAATTAACAGTCCCAAATCCTTGCCTCTTCTATTCAAGAAAGTTGGGATCACCTGAATGCCCACACAAACGTGACCCCAACTTTCTTGAATGGAACAGGCAAGGATTTGGGACTGTTAATTTTTTGTCAACGTTTAGATGGTTGATAAAGAAAATTAAATGAAACTTGAAGGGCATTTGTGTCTTTTTAAAATGCCACTTAATGGTAGGTTAATATCTGATTAACGGCAGGTACTGGATTGCCATGTTTTGAAAGTTCGGTACTGAATTGTCGCATTTTAAAGTTCGGGGACCAAAGTGGCACTAGGCCCAAAGTACAGGGTACTAATCGGGAATTTTGCCTATATTCAACTATCCTAGAAAAGAATACAATGTGACAAGAAATTCCTAGCATACAGCCCAAGTGTCTAAATTCATTTGTTGCAAACTCAGGAACAGCATATTATCAGTTCATTACAAATATCATATTCTTATATCCTTTTTATTTTTATTTAGTTTTTTTAGAGGAAGGATTAAGGATAAACTTCAGATTTCAATATTTCTAACAGTCCAGGGAGAAAGGAATGCCAAGACAATCAGAAACATCATTTTATAAAATACAAGGGAGCAGCACTTCTATGTTGACATTAAAAATCAAAATCACCGATTTGAAATATAATGTATATCAGCAACACTCTTTTTTTTTTCCTGGGATCAATATCATTAGAAATATAATGTATATCAAAGGAAATCAACCGAATTAGATGATAGCAAACAACAAAGGAAAATTACGGCATAATACCATCTACAAGCACTAAAAAATGCCATCTGCAAACCGACCTCAAAAGAAGCGCTGACATCACCAGAATATGCCCTTGACTGGTAGCAACGTAGAATCCGATCCAACCAATAGTAGTTTTCCTGGAAGGGAACAAATTTATCATGACTTTCCATTTAGTCAAAAGATATTCTCTGAATGAATCATGAACGCTTGCACTATTAAACACGACTTAGTACAAAAGTAACCTGCAGCCCATTTTCATGTGCTCGCTGCTCAATTTCAAGAATGGTCAAAACATCTTGTTCTGAAGGTCCTTCCTCCTGAAGACAAAATATTTCATCCAATGCAAGATCAACCTGCACATAATTTTGCATGAGAAACACAAGTTCTTATTAAAAATGCAGGGAAAAATGTCTCCATATTGAAGGCAGCAAATGAACCAGTTTTTCAAGCAGTATTAGCATATGTTTCTGGGAACTTCAAACAACCTACCAGCATCCGTGATATATCTGGATCACACGAAAAATTTATGCTTATGTCCCCACGAACATCCTCAGTCTTTGAAGGTTTATTACCACCAAGGAATACAGTAACACCTGCTGAGTATATCTGAGCCAAAAATTTATATGGAAAAGAATCAGGCTAAAGAACACCATGCCATATAACATGAATTTTTTTTTAAAAAAAAGAAGGATAAAGAAAACCTGGCCATGCTTGAAACGCAAAACCTGCATAATTTTCGTTTCAAGAAGCTTGCTCAGAAACCCAACAAAGTGAATTTCTTCCATCTAGTATTTGTTGTGCACAAAACACAGAAATACATCACTATAATAGAATCAATAAATACTCGTAAAAATTTATTTTTATGGGTTTCTTAAAGACTCCCGTAGCAGCTTAGAACCAACATATGGAGTTACAGACCATATTTTCATTCTTCAGTTCCACAGGAAAGGAGAGCTGTACAGAGCACTGTGCTTCTACCATGGGGCTACGAACTACCTCTCTACAGTCACAACAATGAATTCCATTAGATAACTCACTTTTCATCCATCCCTGCCCCCTAAACATAAAACCATACACAGTCAAGGTTGCACATTTACCTGATTATGGTTCCAGGGAAAGTAAAAGGCAGGCCTTTCAAATCATCACGGTTGAAATGCAAGACTGGTTGAGGAGGTTTGGGTATTCCACCCTACATAAGGAAGCACCCAATTAACATAGATTTTTTAATATTCTAAGAATAAGCAAGTCCTAGAAAGGAGGTAGAGCGGTAGACATTACCAAGTACTGCAAAATTAAAGGGCGTGCCACATCAGGATTAAGATTCCCAACAATTACAACAGTAAATGTTGACGGATCCTTGAAGCAATTATTGAAATATTCACAAGCTCTTATGGGGTCAACTTTTTGTAAGTCACTAATTCTAATTGGCTGCATGAGGAGAAATACCATTCACAAATAAGATATATACAAGTAAGAATAATATAAATAAACTAATTATAACTGTGGGATCAAAGGTTACCCTGAAGAAATATGAATTTCCATAGTTAACTTCCCGAACACGGTTTGCAAATGCTGTGTATGGATCCCTCTCTTGAGCACGAATTGCTTCTTCGGCCATTTGCATCACTATTTTGACTTCTTCTTCTCCAGGTACTACATTAGTAGTGAAAAGTTGATATACTAGCTACAGGAACAAATATGATGAGAGATTAAGACATTTCAAAAGAGTATATACAATCCATCAACCATTCAACTTGAATATCAAAGTAAAAACATATGTGATCAATACACTGCATCATATCATGCAACAAGAATAAATGTTGGAATTTTTCAACTAGGATCCATTTGAAAACAACAAATGGACGATAGCCATAATTTTCTGACAAAACAAGCATATGAAAATAAGTTATAGTTACAAATATAATGATTTTTGTATTCACAACCAATCAAATTCTCCAAGGCAATGATGAAATTTTAGTCAATTACTTGATATACATTTCTTTATATCAATTTTTTTTAATATAAACTCCTCTGTTTGAGCACATGCAATAGAGAAGGGGGGATGAAAGGGCAGCAACAACAATGTTGGTAAGAGATGGTAAGAGAACAAGGTCTCCCAAAGAGGGATACAATGTCCTTGTATTCTCTTAGCTCCTATTATCATTCTTCTCTTATTTTCTCAAGAAATTCTGTCTTGCTTGACCAGTTGTTACCTGGGCATCAACTTTCGCCTAGGGAGGCCAAAACAAGTGGTCACCACTATTGTCCAAGACAATAAACACACATCCTTAAATAATAAAAAGGAAAAAATATGCAGTCTTAGCTAACACCAAATACTTCAAAGTTCATACCTAGCTGTAAAGAAAATGTGCAATTTGAGTTGGGTGAGTTTGATAAATAAGGTGCTTTTGGGTAATTGGTACTGGAGATACAACATTGGAGGAAAATAGTAAATGGAGGCATCTTCTTTAAGTAAAATTTGGGATCAGTAACGAAAGAGTCAGAGATCTGAAAGTGCAGAAGACATGGTGCTTTTGGCTAAGTTTCAGTGCTACCATCTAGCCACAGGAATAGTGGATCAACAGATCTGGAGATGGGACAAATGGGGAATGTTTTCAATGAAATCCTTTCGGGAACTAAACAATGTTCCAATCTTAAAATAAGCTAGAAAGACTTTTTTTAGAAGAAGTAAAGTATCAATTCATTAATAGGAAAAGTACAACCATAAGCTAGAAAGATTTACTTTTTAAACCACTTTCATCTTTTTAACCATCCAAAATGGAAAATCCATAGAGCAGTTCAATGCTTTAATACTCTCAACCTGATTGTATGTATTCTAACATCAGCCAGTCTGCTGTGTTCAGGAGTGAATATTTTTGGGTAGTAATACAATGTATCCAGGGCTATCAGGGTTGATGACTTGGATGTGGGAACAGTATTTTCAAATCAAAGGCATAAATGACTTTTTTTTTTCTTTTGAAAAGTTAACACAAACAAAATATGTAGTCTCCCCACCCCCACCTCCATTCCCACCCACCTAAAAAAAGGATAAAAGAAAACATCAACCAACAATACTAGTACAGTGTTTTGCACTCCAAAAGCACATTCCTTACAAGAATGAGCTATTCGTCTTTGTGTTGGTGATTTACAAACACCTTCTGCCACTGCGGTATTTAAACTTTTGAGTTCTTTTCCAAATTTAACATGCCGGATTTAAAGACAATAGGACTGCCAAAGGGTCAGGTCTGCCCAACAGAACTGAGCCAAGCATATTGGTTCTGGTTCTATGATTTTCTCCTAATTAACAATTTGGGTTGGGACCGGTTCTTGCTGTTCCAAAGTCCAAACTGATTCAGACCTGAACCAATTATGTTGTTAATAATATATAAAGATCTCCTTTTTTTCTTGATAAGTATCCTATTATTTGGTCATATCATGTCTAAAAGGGTAAGTTTAATAAAAAAATACATAAGATAATTATGATTAAAAACACAGATTTTACCAACCTATAAACAGCCCTGTACTTTACTGTCAGTTTATTAAAATGATATTATCAAAATAAGGTTTTAAGCTGTCATTATCATTGGTAATTATAGATGCAAAGCATAATTGGGTCTTATTGGGTCATACTCGATTATCCTGATTAATAATTGGTTCCATTCTGGGTATAAGATATTGTCCCAATTATTAATCAGAACGGGACTGGTACATGCTGTTCCAAACCAGACCCGACCAATTGACAGACAGCTCTAAAAGAAAAAAAAAAAAAAACTTGACAGATTGAACTGACCAGTCCCCATGCCAGCAAATCCAAGCTAAAAACTGGTTTGAAACTATAACAGAGCAACAGATAACAAGATAAGAGGTTTACTGATCTACATTTTTACAAAAATAGACCCCAATAAAGTAAAACATATGCACATGCTTCTATAAGAGAGAAGGGCAAATACAGCTTTTTGTATTAACTAATACAGAATGCAATCCCTTATAAGAATGGCAATGATGTTCATCTAGATGCATGTCAATTGTGTTTAGATAGATAGGGAGCACAAATAGTTCATGCATAAAAACCAACCTGCAAGGCAGTTTCTAGGTCAGAAGGTGAGCAGTCACCGGAAAAGGTTCTCATGTATGCTCCAATCTTGGTTCCAACTTCAGCTCTCTTACCAGCAAGCATATCCATGAGCACAGATGGTTTATATCCAAAAACACCAATCTCTCCAGCAATGGTTGAGCCCATTGAGCATGAGAAATACCGACTTTCTGAGAGCTCAGACAGGCCTCCATATGTGAACCCCGTGAAGAGAACCTATTGAAAACAAAATATGAATTAGGAAAGCAAATTCCATCTGAAACCAAAATCTCTCTACAAAATTGAAGAACCCTGATTCTGCACATGTGGCACATGCATGTTCATCCATTTATTAACAGAACATGAAAGAATGCTAAGGGCTTTGAGTATTGGATATGTCTGAGTGTTAATTGTAAATCATGAAGCAGTTCCATGATAGTAGATTTGTTATTGGTTCCATGATAGCAGTTCCACAAAGCAGTTCCGTGGCACATGCGACACATACATGGATTTTATTCATTTATTATCAGAGCATGCAAGGATGCTAAGGACTTTGAGTATTGGATACTTCTGAGTGTTAATTGTAAATCATGAAGGAGTTCCATGATAGTAGATTTTTTATTGGTTAACAAAAATAGAATTTGATTGCAAGAAAATGTCAGTGCTATTTTAATATGGGATTTGTCTTCGATGCTTTAACCCTTGAACCTTCTTTCAGCATCCATCTTATAGACAACACTGCATTTTTTGATAGGTAAGAGTACTATTATAGTTACACATAAAAAAATAAGTCCATGTACAAGGCTTACATGTTATGTGATACATATCTTGTGTACAATATAAATGGCCCATGTAACATCTAGGGTTGGAAAATGAGGCTTAAGACACTATCGCAAAAATGATAGGAAGATGGACCTTCAAAATCAACCAAAATGGATGACCAGGAAAAATACCAGACTTCCAATCTTTCCAGTATGTTTTTCCACCAGCTAGCTCTTGTGCTAAAATTTCTAAAGATGTTGCTCCATTTACATGGACAGATAAGGAAAATGTGGTGAGATTCCATAGAATCCTCCCTCTCTTGGTAAATCCTTTAACCACCCATGATTTTGGGTCCATTTGACAACAGCTGAAGTGGCTAAATTGAATGGTTTATTTGACAACAACTTAATAACTGATACTGAATTGGGTTGATTACTATACCCTTGAATATGTTATAATTAAATTATTTTATCCATTAAAAGACAAAGCAAGAAGTTATTCAGTTCGATCACTTCAGCCATTAACAAACAGCCCCTTACTAAGACCTTGAGGAAACTGGACAGGATCACATGGAACAAACACGGTGGTTTCTGAGAGGGATACAACCATATATAGAGGAGTGAATAATAGGAGGAGATGAGGAAATATACTGAAAGAATAGAAAGGTTTCCAGAAGATGAATGAGACAACTGAAGAGACAAATTCAATAATGAAAGGAATAAGAAAGCTTCAGTATGAGTTCCAGAATAGAAGCTCATGAGTTACAGAATAGATGCTAAGATTCCTCGATAGGCCATTAGGCAGCTTAGAGCAAAGACACACTCAAATATATAAAAAGAAGAATATTGGATGGTATTATGTGCGACAGTGCAGGTTAAGCGGGGTTTCTGAGCAAGGAAAAGAAGATGACAGCAAGCCAATTGTCATGATTAGTGAACATGAGAATGTGAGAGAAAACAGACATAAGAAGGAATTACTACCATATGGAAGGAAAAAAAAAAGAATAAAAGAGTCTAACAAAGTTATCCAAAAGACCCTTTTTCATATAGACAGTAGTAGATTAATGACATACAATGCATTTTAATGTAGGTAGTAGATTTAACAATATAAACATATAAATTTTTAAGAGAAAAAAAGGATGCTTCTCTAGCAAGATCTGGTACCATTATCAGAGAGCAATTCAGAATTGTGGATTTTTTTTTTTGATCAATAACTGGAATTCATTAGATTAAAAGAATTTAGTTACAGCGCTCCAAAGAGAGATAAACAGGCTTCACTCTCTCCAGGAAGATAACAAAAAAGAAAAAGTTACAGAACAGCCCAAAACATTTGATCCCTTCCCACCCCCTACTTTGCCAAAGCAAATTCAGAATTGTGGATTCTTCCTTCAATCAACTGATGTTATTCTTAGAACATGGCATATTCCAGGCATGAATAAGGGCAGAACAGTCCGTCAGTGGCTCCCTTAGCTATAATTTGGGCAATCTGGTTAGAAAGGAATGGCAGAATTTTTGAGATGAAGAAAAATCCACTTGAGGTGGTTGTCAAAGGAGATAAGGGAGAGATAAACTCTCTTAACTCTCCCAAATACAAACAACAAAATTACAATACAGCCCAAAATAAATGATCCCTTTCCACCCCCTACTTTGCTAATGTATCACCAAATGAATTAGCATTCCTTTTCACCCATTGCACATTGATTTCCATTCCCAAGACAGCCAAATACTCCTTTTCTCGTTAATATAGCACCACCATCCAGCCTCCCCTTCCTTCATCAACCACTCAATAACTAACTTTGGGTCCCCCTCAATTACTTAATTCTCTCTAGCCCTTTGAAGACCTTCCAGCACAACCATTATTTCAGCCCTCAAAGAATCTCCAACACCAACCTATCTCAAGTAGACAACAATGATTCTTCCTTCCTCATTTCTAAAGACACCCCCTATGCCTGAGGACCCAGATTTCCTTCACTACTCCCATCAAAATTCAGCTTAATAAAGTTGGTCTTACCACAACCTTACTAGGAGCTGAGTCAGCAACAGATTTCCGATTCCTCACCAAATCATCTGCATGGATTCCTTCAAAACGATCAAGAGACTTCACTCAGTGGATCACCCTAATTGTAATGATTTCAATTAAGGCATCTCTACTTCTCTCCTTATCAAGAAAGATCCTATTATTCCTTTCTTCCCATGCTGTCCAACACACAGCCACCCTTGTACATCTCCATAAATATCTTCCCCTCTTCTTTGGCCAACTAACAAAGGTAGAGGCAAACAAGCTTCACACATTGGTCTTTTTCTTTGATGAAATAAAAGGGCAAGGGATTAATGAGTGGTAGCAAGACTCAATATCAACCTTACAAAGAGAACACCAGTTAGGGGATAAGCACCAATTTGGTCTTTTTCTTTGAAGCAAATCAGAAGTGTTAATTCTCTCCAAATAGACTTCCCAACAAAAAGCACCCACACGAGGGATAGGCTTGATCCAAACCTCCCTAATATGAGAAGGCATCCCCAGACTATCCCCTGGTTGAACTAAGGCTAAAAAGAAAGAGGCACAAGAGAATGAGCTACAAGAAGAAAGAGTCCAAATTTGACTATCCCTTTCTCAATGGGACCCAAAAAAACCCCCAACCAACCTTTGGAGAATAGACACAACAGCACTCATTTCTGACTTACAAAGCCCTCTCCTGAATCCCAACTCCCAGTTAAACCCAGACAGCGAATTAGAAGGCACAATGAAAGAACAAATAGACACAACAGCACTCATTTCCGACTCACAAATCCCTATTAAAGCATCTAAAACCTCCGCCTTTGAAGAGTTCGCATTGTCTATTGGGCCACCAAAGAAGCAACAAATATTTCCTGTCCTATCTCTTATCACTCCTCCAATACAAGCAGCGCCAAAATCCCCATGGAACTCCCATCAAAGTTTAATTTAACAGTATACACCTGATTAGAGCTGAACACCTGAGGGATAGATAGAACTTCAGGGGAAGAAAACAAGAGCTTCACCACATTTCTTTGTAAGCCATTCAAAGAGAACCCATAAAAAATTTTAATGTTCACCACCCAAAAGTTACATTAAGTCAACAATGTGAGCAATCAGGTCTTCAATAGATTTAGCCCTGTTCTCAAAAATGCCATTATTCCTTTCCTCCCAGACACCCCACAAGACAGCATAGTGGCCCAAAGGGGCTTTCCCCTCTCATCTAAGCCTCTTGCCTGCCATTGCCAAATAAGCTCAATGATCCTTTGAGGCATTGTCCAACTATAAACGGCAAGGTTGAGGAAACGATACCAGATTTTTCTTGTTTCTGTGCAGTGAAGTAGAATGTGCTCAGCCGTTTCCCCATCTCTAAGGCAGAAGGAGCAAGCATAAGGTGAGAGATTTAATCTACCTTGATTCTTCTTTTGCACTAGATCACAAGTGTTTATTTTCCTATGGGTGGTGTCCCCCACAAAGAAGCTAACTCTGGAAGGGATGTGAGAAGGCCAGACCTTCTTTAAAGGAAAAGGATGATTGAGCTCATATGCTGTCAATGCCTTGAAAAAGATGATTGAGCTCATATGCTGCCGGCGAGGTGAAGGGTCCAAATTCGATAGTCTTTAGAAGAAGGGGAAAGATATACCTCCCTACGAGATTGGAGGAAGTCAGCAATATCCTCTAATTCTGCTTCTCTTAAGGGTCTATGAAAGTCAAGGTTCCAATTAGAGCCAAGGACATTGAGGACAAACAGGTGGCATCAGAATCTTCTTTGTTTATAGAAAGGTTAAAGAGCCTAGGAATGGCCCAGCCCCACAGAGGCCAACTTAAGTGAGAAAACACCTTTGTGATATGAACCAGCTATTTCTTCTGACCCTTCAAATGCCTACCAACACTACCATATTTGTCCTTCCCCTCGGGGACTTCTAGTGATGCATCCTGCAAGCTAAGAGTAGCAGATCCAGCAATATATCTTTGGTCTAAACTTGGTCTACACACCTTTTACAGCCCAAATCTTCTCCCAATCCAATTAAAACATCAAAGAAATCCAACATATTGGTTCTATCAATATCTTCATTTGTATTGTAAGATAGTGCCTCCAGACCATTTACAGCCCAGATCTTCCCCTAACCCAATATTGGGCCCAGCTATTTGCGGTCTTGGGAAGAGTGGATTGGATAAGAACATGTCTTGCACAAGGTGGCTATTCTCAGATTTGAACCCACATTTTCATGCCCGCCAGCCTGAGATTTTACTGTTGCACCAAGGAGGGAAAAAGAATGAAAAAAAAAATGAGAAGATAGTAACATTGGGGTACAGAGAAGAAGTGATTACTTTTTTTTTTACCCTTTCTGTCTTCTGTTTTATAACAGTTTAATAGTAGTGACCATCCTTCTTGTGAAAAATACTTGGTTGAGCTTCATCTTTGGCCCTGGATGACTCCATTTATAGGGGTACATCTTTGTACAGATTTTGGAATTTGGATATGTTGTTCACTCCTTTCTTAAGTCAATAAGTATCCACTATATAAAAAGTGTTGAAAAGGCTAGACCCCTCAACAATTTGATATTCAATACTCTCCACTATTTATATGCCAGTTACTAAACCCGTGCTAATGCACTTTGGATGCTATGGTTCCAAATTTATTGTATATCCATATCCAAGACCTCAGCAGGGAAAAAATACCCATGTGCTACACAAGATTCATGCTGGCAGGAGACAACCTAAAAGATATTAGACATCATATGGTTTTCAAAAGTCAGCCCAATTAATAAGCCTAGGGAACTCTCAATTTGGTTGCCTATAACCTCCAGTTACCCATTGCCAGAGTATTAACACAACATATCCATTAAATCATAGAACATAGTAGATAATTGACATGTAACCATTTACTATAAAATTTAGCATGTAAAATCTCCGAAAAAGGCACCATGCAAATGGATGGAGACTGGTAAAAAGAAAATTCACCACAAAAACACAAAATCCCTATTTGTGATACTTATCCTCTGTAGGATAATTTCCCTCACGTTTAGCATCAGTGGTATAAAGTCTCATTATCACATTTATCAATACAATCAGTTATCTTTCATCTCAAAAAATTGTCACATGAAATATCATAATGAAACTAGTTTCTTCAGAGTTTTCAATGGTATTATAGCCAACATGTAAGTAAACATTTATTGAGACTAGGAGTAAATTTGCTGGAACCCACACAATAAGAGTAAAAAAAGGTAAACAAAAATCTATAGTAATGTAAAATCCCAAAGTCATCATCAATTCTGCAGGCAGAGTAGAAGACTATGTGGCATAGAGCTACTTCTTATAATCTAGAGGGTGTTCTGGCTAAAGAAAGATCAAAGAATCCAAACCAAAGGTGATATCTATATTCACAACCCAAAAAAGTACTCAGTACCTGATCATCAAGGAAGTCTGTGCACTTGTAGCATATTTTCATTCCATTTGAAAGAAGTAACTCGGTTACATCAATATCTGGATATTCACGTTGCTGTATAATGTCCCTGAGACAATTTAACAAATGCAGAAGATACAATATGCAACCATTAAATTGATAACAACATCTTTGCTGCAAAGTTAATTACCTTCTCCAGAAAGAAAAACAGATAAATAAAACTCTTACATGGACCTACAGTTAGGATAACATAAAAACACAAGGATGTTCTGCCTTTTAAAGTGTCAAGCATATTTCACCCCTTGTCAGTGGCAAAATGAAATCTCCAGTTTCTTCTTAGGTTTAAATGTATTAATTGAAATTAGAGGAAATAAATGCATAAGGAAATTTTACCTCAAGATCCATGCCACTAGTCTCTCCACAATTCAGACATGGTGTAACTTCACAATGGTCTATTTTTCCCCATTGATACCTTCAATCACTTCTTGTTATTGGTGTTTTAGATGGTCTAGTCCAAACCATCTTAGTTTACTTTCCCCCATTTTATCACCAACACGGGAGGGTACTAGATTCCCTCGAATATGCCTATTTGTAATCCTATCTTTTCTGCTTTTATCACTCATCCATCTCAACACTCACATCTCTGCCACAATTATTTCTCGGGCACACTTCTTGGCTCCCAACATTATGCTCTACACAATATTTTCAAGTTACTAGCAATTTTGTAAAAATTTACTTTAGCCTCCATGGTGTTCTTCAATCATACAATACTTTAGATGCAGCCCTCAGTTTCGTCCATCCCACTTTAATCCCATTGGCAACATCCTCAATCTTTCTCTTTTATGAATTATTGCACCAAGGTGGAAAAAGTGACATTACGAGACCTCTTTGGTCTCCAATCCTAATTGTGACATGGTTTTTTTTTTTTGAAAAGGTTGGTAACTTTATTAATGAAATAGAGGGTACATAAGAAGATGTACACAGAAATTACAACTCAAGTGTTAAGTAGGAAGAGAACTATCACTAAACAAGACATCCCTGTGAGCACCAGCTTTTGCTACACTGTACTATTTTTTTTTTTTTTTTTTTTTGCTTCATGGGCCACACAGCAGGGGGTAGCCAGTCCCCCAAACCCAAGTGACAGTGGGATTTGATCCCTAGTATCTGCTACAACCAGCCAGCCCAGAGAACTTACCAACTAAGCCACCATCAGTTGGTTCATTATTCACATGGCCAACAACACCAAGCACAAATAGAGTTTGGTTATAAACCATTAAAAAGGCAAGATATAGAAATGCAAATTAAGCCATGCAATTAAGAAATAATTTTTTATCAGTATGCAATTAAGAAAATAATTACTTCAAGGGGTCAATTAACTAGGATAAGATGGAGATCTATAGTTGAGCAAAGGTTACCCTGGAATTGGCTTTGTATTGACAATTTCTTCTGGGATGTGCTCGTCATCCCAAGGAGAAATGCTCCTTTCTTCCTCAAGAAAATTGATCTTCTGCACAGCAGCTTTTAGATTATCAACTGTTGCAGTAGCTCGAGGTTCAACTGTTTTGATCACACAACTGCATGATGTACGGAAGTTCTCAGAGTACCTAGACACCTCCTCTGCTGATATTTCTATTTGAAAAAAAAAAAGTTGAGAAAAAAAAGATGGTACAAATAGCTTAAACATAACAACATTATTTCTTAGTAGAACAAATCCCAGTTAGTAGAACCAAGAAGGTAAAATAGTAAGACTCACGAGGTAAAATCGTTTTTTGAAGTTGTGCCTCATACTCTATTCCAACGACAGGTTCGTTGTGGAAAAAGTGCTATCAAATAAAAAAAAAAAAGATTAGCAAATAACATAATACAAAAGTTTTAAAATGATATGAATTTCCAGTCAAAAGAGATATGGATCCATAAAAGGATGGATTTCTTTGCTTTGCTGATGCTAAAATACATATTAGCACAGCCAACACATTAAGCATCAGGATAAAAGAAAATAAGAATATAAAAAAATACCAAATATCCAAACTTATCAAAAAAAAAACAAATTTCCAAGGAGTTTAAAACCCTTAATCAAGAGGTTAAGTTTATAGCTTATTGTCACTGTTTTATTGCTATAAAACTGAGAATCTGATCCCAGCAAGCCTACTGAGAAAAGATCCAAAGTTCTGGGGACTAACCATAACAGCAGACCATCATGGACATCCACCATAATTAATGATAAGATATAAAAACTATAAAATCAGAACAAGACACAATTGACATCCTCAACAAAGAAATAAAAAGAAGAATTAATCTAACTGTTGAATGAAGATGTCATGCGCATGTAACTTTATGATATGATAATAGTTCAAGTTCATATTTCTTATTGTTATCAGCGATACCATCACCTCACGTGGTATATTTCTCCAAGTCATAAGGAGGGAAAAAAAGTACAGTATTCCTTTAAACCTTTTGTGAATTGCAAACTAAACTATCTTGCCTCCCCATATTTGGTGTGGGTGGGGATGGAGGATTTCCCATCAGCGAGAAGGTGGAGGAAAACATTGAAAGTTGAAGCAAAAACCTTTGTGCTGGAGGAGGTTTGGACTAGGGGAGCCCTGGCACTGAAGATAGTTGAACTAAGAAAAGCTTCCCTCGTCCTTCCAGAAAGAGCTGTTTCTTAGTTCAGGGGTGTGCTAGAAGGTGCAGAGAACTCAGCACAGGTGAAAGAACAAAAAAACTACCATACCGAAGCAGGAAGAAAATATGTTGCATAAAGGAGAGAAAACAAAAAGGGAAGGTACGTTGGAATATACGAGCACTTTGGTGAAGGCAAAAAAGGGAAGGATAAAATATCAAATAAAGAAGAGAAACAAAAAACTTTGAAGGAAAAGGAGATTCTGAGCGAAGATTTAATGTTGTGCGAGGAAGTAGAAGATTTATGTTTAGCTACACATCTGGGAAAGCTTAAAATGTGGGTAAATACCTCCAAAGAATATTGGGAACGCAGGGTGGTTATTTCAGCAAAAGGAATTGTAGGAGACTGGACTGGCCTAGGAGAAGAAATGAAACAGATACTAAAGGTCTCAGGCAAGGTGGTAATACAACCTTTTGATGGAAAGAAAGCAGTGTTATTATTACCTGAAGAAGTGCAGGTGGATGTACCCTTTTTGGCTATAACTAAGCAAGGCATGGTGATAGTAGAGAGGTGGTCTCCCTGTTCAAATGAAAAGGTTGTCGAGCCAATAAAGTAATATTGAACTGAGAATCCTAGGCATGGTGATAGTAGAGAGGTGGTCTCCCTGTTCAAATGAAAAGGTTGTCGAGCCAATAAAGTATATTGAACTGAGAATCCTAGGCATGGTGATAGTAGAGAGGTGGACCCTGGAAGTGTTTACAAGAGTTGCAAAACTCTGTGGAGGAGAATTGCTGGCCTTCGTTGTTGATGACTTGAGAGCAGCCACAGTCCAGCTGGGAGGAGCAAAACCAGAGTTAATCCCTCGTCTGTTGGAAGTATACACAGATGGGGTGGAATACAAAGCCTGGATTACTACTTCCATTGAAGCTCAGTGGTGGAAGGAAGGGCGTCCTGAGGAAGATGATGCTGATGTGGTAAGTTTACCTATTCAGTGCAATCAAAGGCAGTGACAGAATGAAAAAAGAAGTTCAACAATTAAGGAAACTGTGGCCCAGGTGGTAGCGTCCAAATCTGAAAAAAGACAGATGTTGGGCTTTGTGATTCGAAGGGGGCAGCTGGAGAAAGGGATGCAAACAGATGGGCTGAAACAGGCACGTGGGGTCAGGTAAAGAAGGCCATGATTTAAGGCCGAAAGTAAATGGGCCTAATCTAGATGGGCCAGCAAACATATTTGGGCCAAAACTTAGGAGGTCATGTGACCTTCTAAAAAGTCATGTGATAGGAGACAGGATTCGAGCGACACCAGGCTTTTCCGATCTATCACCGTCCCAATCCAAGCCCAACCAAACTGAAAAACAGAGAAACCAGAAGACTGCAGGAGAAGTATGAGCATGGAAACCCAGGCTGGTATCCTACAAGGCCTGAGATTTGCCAAGCAATGGGAATTTCAGAACTTGGTGGTGGAAGGGAACTCTAAATTGTTAATAGGGTGGCCGCAAACAAAGAAGCTGGGTGTATGGAAGTTTAGACAGAAAATAAGGGAAATAATTTGCTTGGCAAGGGAAGTTGGAGTAACATTCAAATGGGTAAGGAGATCAGCAAACTCTGTGGCAGATAGCTTGGCAAAACAGGGGACATTCAGGGAAAACTTTTTTTGGGCTGTACTGTAACTCTTGATGTTATTTTGGGGTCAATACTCTTTGTCTGAGTGGTTGACAGTGTAAGAAGTTTATTTGATATCCTTAATGAAAGTTACCGTTTCCAATAAAAAAGAAAAACTTTTGTGAATTGATAGTTAAGAGAATAGTTTTCCGAGTGCCTTCTTCATTAGAACCTCCTCAGTGCACACCTTGTTTTCAAAATTGTGTATTTCTCTCACCCCAAATGCTCCACACAGATTTTGTAAGCAATTTCACTTGCTTTTTTTTTTTAATTTTTGAAAAGGTAAAGCAAGATAATGAGGTACTATACATTGGAGCACCAAGGCCAAAGCTATCCAATGACTTGCATATGTTTCCTAAAGCAATGGATCGATATGATAATGATGTCCTAAAAATTGACTTCAGAATATTTTCTTCAAAATCACTAGATTAAATAGGAAAATATTAGGTATGAAAATTATAAAAGCAATATGGCAAAGCTCTATCAGTGACACAATAACATATAGTGGAAATGATTGAAGGATGTCAGCCATGAAAATCAAAGAGAAAATAAGGACTTGGAAGTACCTGTAAATATTCATCTCGGAGACTTGTAGATGGCCTTTGGTCTCGCTCCAAATAAGCAGATTCAATCTCTGACATCATTAATGCTCGGACAATTGATATCTCACGCTCTGAAAACCCTTGGAGACGAACTCTTGCAACCTGAAAAATAAGGCAACCTTAAGGATAAATAAGATGAGACAAAAAAAATATCATGCCAAGATATAAAAATACCTCCATGAGCATCGATTCCATGGCTTCCACAGTCCCCTTCTGTTTGCATGTTGAAGTTATTACGTAAGCCTTCATAGGACGAACTAGAACATCTGCTGCAGAATAGCATGAGAAGAATGGAGGGTCCTTTCTACGAGATATTTTAAAGAATCTCTGATTTAGGGCACAATGGAACATTGCTTCTGCTAGTGAGTCTTTATAATCTTTAACTGTCTTTAGTTCACCCACTGGCATCTTACAACTGATCATCACTGCAGACTGTTTTTGATATAACCCAAGAGAACAATGTCATGATTGCATGTGGTTTCATCCAAAAAACACATGCATTAACAAATTAGAAGTCTACTAATTACTGACCCCAGCAGCTTCAGATTCAACAAAGCATGAAAACCGCGGTTCATTGTGTGATGGAACAGGGAAATATGGTATAAGTGGAGGAGGGCTGGGCATTGAAACTTTTTGTCCAAAATGAGTCCTTATCATTTCAACAACACTCTGCCAGGAAAGAAAGTTTACTTGAACTGTTTAGAAAATTGAATCAATGTTAAAAAGAAAGATAGTTAATAATTAAAGAAGCAAATTTGAACACAGTTGACGAAAACCTGTGTATCTGAAAAATCCCCAACAGCAACCACTGCCATATTTTGTAAATGGTACCACTTCTGATAAAATCGCTTTACAGTTTCAGGAGAAACGGTCCGAATCACCTTTTCTAATCCAATGGGTAGACGCTCAGCATACTGCATCCATTTAGTAAATATTTATAGATTCCCATGATACAAACTAGGAACTAGTTATCAAGGAAAATAAGGCAAATCAGGGACCAATAAAAGAAGAATAATCATATATAAAATAAAATTCTTATCTCTATACTTCTATATTAGTTATATATTATTGTACGTCAGTACAGAATGATATTTGTTAATGATTAGAGTTAAAGAAAGAACCAACAGAGATTGTAATCACACAGGTTGCATAGATTGCAGGAACTTTGTACCACCCAATTTGTGTTCAAGAATCCTTAATTAATCCTCCATTAAACCCAAGACACCACCAATCCTTCACCAAATTCCCATCAGGTCCCACCTGGACCAGACTCACAATTGACCACCAGAGTACCTAATTTAGCCTAATAAATCTTAAAATCTTAAAAAAAAAAAAAAAACTAAAACAAAACCTCAATAATATCAAAATAATTTCCCTAATATATAAACCACTAGCTATCAATTCTCACCTTAAAAGTCAAGCATTTGACACTTTGCAAAGAAACTTTCTGTTTTGAATAGATCAAAATCATACAGGGTCAAGAGAGAAACTAAAACTCATTACTGGATTCATCACATGAAATACTTAATACAATGATAATAGACCCTTAAATTGCTCCTCATTTGAGAAAAAAAAAAAGAAAAAAAATCATTTTTGAACCTCCCAATATCAAATAGCCGACCCCAGAAAATTGGGATAAGGCTTGGATGATGATGATGATTGTCAATAAGCACATATCATTAGACTCAAAGCACCAGTAGTCCTATCCCCATTGTCATGGTGGGCCTAAAGGAGATGTAGACCCTTCATTGTCCCATATGGGCAGTCAAGAATCATATGCCTCCTAAAGAACCTATACATCCTACAGTGGCCTTATCCAAATAAGCTTACACACTTAAGACCTTCTGCTTGTAGCTAATACCATCACCTTCTGAACTACATAAACACCCCACCTCCATCTTCTCTCATTTGAACACATACCACCAAGCCTTTCCTAACGCCTTCAGAAATTTTAACAATTTCCTCCATCAAAATCCCCCAGAATTCTTTAAAATAAGAAACTAAGGATACGTAAAAAGAACCAAAAAAGTGAACATTCTTATCTTTTCAAAAGACTTAAAACTCAGAAATTTGCAAAAGGGCAACTAATCCCAAATCCTCATCCTCCAGGAGATAAAAGAATAGTTTTGTATGCAACCAAGAAATTATAGAAAGAACCATTGTGGAATGGGGCAAAAAAAACAGATCTGTTATTACTGTACCTTTGATCCTTCCATCATTAGAACCCAGTGTGCATCCTGCATACGTCCATTGGCATTACGGCTCATCCTGTATTCTTCCAAAACAGCTCCTCTTTCTTTGTCCAAATCATTTGCTAATACTCGAATCTAACAACAAAAAATATGACTTGACCATATGAAATGTTAGTAATAACAAAAGTTATGAATCATTGAAACAACTAGAAGGAAGTGTTGCTACCTCAGAGCTAAATTCTGCCAAAATAGATATGGCCTGGGATAAAAGGTCAGGCTTATCAACAGGAACAAGCAACTCATATATCGTTTCATCAGCTGATGTTGAGGCATTTTGACAAGCACCAAACTCTGCGCCAATGCTTTCTAGAAACTTAACAATATCATGATTGGAGTATTTCTTAGTGGCACTGAAAGCAAGATGCTCGACTATGTGAGCAACTCCACGCTCATCCTCCTCTTCCAAAACTGAGCTGCCATGAATCGAATGAACTGGCTCACATCATATTTCAGGAAAGCATAATATTTACGACATAATGGAAATAAAATCATTGTAGGAGTAAGATTACAGGGAGACTCAACTTCTTATTGCCTAAGAAATGCATTCCATCATAGAAAACCAACTAATTGTAACAATCCCGACATAAAAGTAAATAATAAGACTCAATTCCAGCGGAATCCAATTTTTTGCATAAATTGTTTAAAATTCAATTAATAGAGATGGGACTGAAGCAGAAATCGTTTATTAAATTAAGTAGAGCCATAAGACATTGACGATTATCAAGTTTCTGCACGACTTACCGTTACCCATCAAATACAGCAATTAAATTAAAAAGAATACCAACAAGGAGAAAAATGCGTTCCCCATCTGAAGGGCCCGTTGGCTATACCCGGATCACCAATTGCCAAAATTCCAAAAATAATGAAAAGGAAAAATAAACCAGAGAAGTAAACCAACGACAAAACCAAACCCACAGAGTAGAAACTGCGGTATTGCTTACCCGACCTTTACTGCAAGCGCGAGAGCGGCTCGCATTCGGGGCTTAGAATTGCATCGTACATAGTAATAGAGGCCATTGTCAAGCCTACCGTAGTCCACACCAACCGGTCGTTCTTCAAGTCCTTCCTCCAAGTTGATATTAACCAGCTTCAGAGACCTGAAACCGTGCCTCTGTGCGATCTGCGGGACCTCTGCAGGAAGCAAATCCATGGCCTCTTCTTCCTCCTCTCTCTCCCTCCCTCGCTCAAAATGCAAATGGGGAAGAACAAGTAGAAAATTTAAAAAACCTGAAAATTAGAAAAAAAAAAAAAAACCAAAACTCCAAATCTAGAATCACCCTAGAGTTAACCTTTGCCCTCCTTCCCCTCGCTCTGACCAAATGTAACCATTCGTACTTTATTCAGGAAGTCTTCTTCCCATGACATAAATGCGCTGGTCATTTTATATTTTTCCCCCAAACTTGTGTCTCGGCAAAAGAGATTAATCCAAGCAGATTGAAGATTAATGGTTGTGATGTACGAGTGGGACCGGGTGATTAAAGCTGGTCGTTTATACACTGTTTCAGTTTCACCTTCACGCGAAAACAAGGGGTACATAAATCCGAGTTGACGACTCAACTCGTTCGAGTCAGACTCAGGATTGTAGTTGTATCGTCCTCGGATAAAGATAGATGGGAACGAGACAATAGAAACCAGAAAGCTCTCGTCAGTCGTTACCAGGGGAAGGGCGCAGGGTTTAAGCACGGTGAAATACTTACCTTGAACTTGAAGACAGTCATCGAGTGTTTCTTGAGCCATAACGGACCAGCCAGCAGTTGCTAAGAGGCGTGTTCGTTGCGAACCTCCAAGCTTCCCCCTTTCTTCACCCCAAATAATGCTTATCCTACGCACCTGCGTCTCTCCTCTTCAACAGCCAAAGCTCTTGAGCTGCAACTTCTCGCGCCAGACCCACTTCTCTGCACCGCTTCGTCCATTTGCTGCTACGCTGCTGCTGTCTCGCAGATTTCTGAAATCATCTGTTACTTTCGCAAAAGCGAGTCGTAGTGAAGGAACTAAAACCCGGAAATTGCAGAAGGAAATTGAAGAAGATGGTGAAGATGACGACAACGATGAAGAAGAAGAAGAGGTCTCAGCTCAAGCTAGATTCAGAGGAAGAGAAGAAGAGAAGGACTATGATCGAGACCCAGAACTCGCCGAGATTCTTGGCAGTTGTTTCGATGATCCACAGAAGGCAAAGGCCCGGGTAAAATGTCGATACAGAATAACTGAAACTATGATGAGAAACTCCAGACTTCTTAAAACTAATCCTTTTTGGTGTTTGTCCTTTTTTTCTATTTTTCTGTCCGTTGGTTAGTTTCATGGATTTCTGTTAGCTTTCCCAAGGAATTTCTTTTTTGCAGAAAAATGCAAAGAGTTGGTTTGACAATCTGAACTTGTTTTCTCATTTAATGGGGTTTTGCCTTTCTTTTCCGTTTTAATAGACCTATCTTGCTTGTTTTTTCAGTTATTCTCTTTCCTTTTCGGTTGAACTTAGAGAGTGGAATATCTTCAGGTGGAGGACAGAATAAGGAACAAAAGGAACAAAATACTGCACCCCAAAACTGGTTCTGCGATACCCATGAAAGTGACATTCAACAAGTAAGATCTGATAAATGTCAAATTGCATTGTAGCCGCATACATGAAAGGATACGTATGTACATTTTATATAAGGAACATATGCAAATGGCATGCGATCATACTGCAAAAAAATTAATAATAAATAAATGTATGTTTTTGAGGGCATAGTATATGCTTGTAGAGATATATCTGCCTATATAGCATCAGTAAAGTAATTTCAATTCCCTCCTGTTGTATTGGGGAAAGCAACTGGAACGGTTCAAAACACATAATACCAATAATTTGGTGCACTTAAACCAAATGATGATTTTTATATTATATTTCTAAGTATAAAATAGTTGTTACATGAACAACGTCAGTCACACTGAACTCTTCCATGATGACCATATGAAGCAGAAGTCATGCCATTATTAGCCAAGATTCCATCAGTCCATTGGCTAATATCTGGTTATAATCCACATTGGAAATGCTCACATTGTTGAAGCTGTATTGCTAAGTCTAAAAACCTAAGAATAATTCTAGGTCTTCATCAACATCTCAAAAGCATCTGCATGGGTAATGCTCACCATTCTAGAGAAATGATTTAACTTGTCTTGGAACCTTGTAATAATTGATAACTAAGAAATTTGTGGGGTACCATTCAGCAAGACAAATAGCACCAAAAAATCTGTTAGCACTTCTTCTGTGGCCATGATTCTCAAAACAGAGAATTTTAAACACAAAGTTAAATTCCTTTCCAGCATAACCACTTTCTCCAAGTTCAGAATTTTAAATAACTATCATGCTCTGAACTATACCCAATGTGACCCAAGAGAATTATCAGGCTACTTTAAGGGCAAAATCTATGGTGCATCCGCTGCACCATGCAACAAAAGATGTGATTGGTTGAATATGATTATAAGTACACCTTGTAAAACGTGAAAGTATACTTTGTGAAATGTGAACCAATGAAAAGTAAGCAAAATTTAAATTGAATGGTTAAGATCTGGATTTAACGTGCAGCCAATATTAGTGAATGCATTGTAGTTGAACTCCTACTTCAGACATGCAAACGTCTCAGGTTCAAGAAAACATTGCATTCAATGAATGTACAATATTAAACATTTATTGGACCTCTAAATTTTCAACAAGAATTTTCAACTACTTGATGTCTTGTCTCCATGCTTTCTTAATTTCTGTAAGTGGAATGAATGTCATACTGAACTTTAATGTGCATATTTATCCCTACCTTTGACATTTCATACAATGATGCTCTACCACTTGCCAAACATTACTATCTAAATATTCCTAAAACAAACTTTGCTCACATTATGCTTAATTGGATTTCCCCATTGAGAATAACCATCACAAAAGTAAATCATAAATTAGGCAATTGTACTCTGAAATATTTGATACCAAGTTCCCTTATCTTTTGACCTTCTCAGTTATGCATTCATTAAACAAAAATAGAAATTCTATTTCATCTTGTTGATACTGCTCTGTTTTTTGTTCAATCTTTTAGATCTGAACACTGTGAAGTAATTAAGTTTTATCATTAAACCATTACTGTCCTCATCCATGAATACTCCTAGCTGATTTTTATTGTATCTGTGTCTGATTGTTAATGCTTTTTGTTATATCCTGTTGCTACTGACTATAAATTCTGTATGGCTAGCATGTAACAGGTTTGATTTCTCAAACTCCTATATATGGTTTGAATTTTACAATGCTCCCCTACCAAATGACATTTCTTTAATCTGTGATGTAAGTAAACTTTTTCAGAGCTTACATCCATACCTTATAAACAAATTTGAGAACTTAAATACTATGTATTTATATGAAGGCAATTCGAGCGTGGCACATTATTGGACGTCTTGGTGGATGCAATTCCATGAACATGCAGGTAACATCTGCTCATATTCATTCATGCATTGGTATAAATGTTTATATATCACAGGAGTATTAAGTTGAGACAAAAAAATGAGGAAATAGAAAGCTCTTTAGAGATATTTCATAATTTCATTTAATCAAAGCAAACTGTTTGGTTGGCCTCAAGGATGATCAGTTGTTCTCCCTTATCCTAAGGTCTCTAGAGCAAACTTGGATCTAGTGATCTGGGGTCCACACTTAGAGCTGCAACTTGGGAAGACCCAACCTGAAACTATATATAGATATTGCATAAATACACTTACACATATTCATCCAAAGAGAATGGCTCAAAAACCTTCGGAGTTTTAATCTAGTATGCCAACCTTATTGAAACATTTTCAATGATTGCTTCTTTGGACCATGCAGTGCCATTAAAGATTCTGCCATTCCTTCCTTCCCAAATAGTCCAAAGAACTGCAGCTTTTGTGCACTGCCACATAATCTTCCTTCTCGTCCTTGGTAAGGTGAAGAAAGAGGCTTGGGTCCATACTCATGTGCAAACATGTATAAATGCATAGACATATATATTATGTATGCTATTCATATACATGTTAATTTTTTGTATATATGTATTATCTAATGATATCTATATGTAGAAAAGGCATATGAAGATTTCCTACTTCCTAGAGGGATAATATTGTGGGTCTTGATAAATAAAGGGGTTCAAAATAGGCATATAGACGGTCGATCTTGTTTCTTGTCTACCTGAGATGCTCGGTCGAATGACACTGCTCAAGTGAATTGTTCGTTACAGTGGCTTCCTTCAAAGAAACTGGCTCAGCTTTCACCAGATTGTTGTAATCCGAGATGTGTTAAGCACAGCGAGATAGATAACCTGGAGCTGGAAATACTTAGTGATGATGAAGAGTGCTTTGATTCAAACATTGAAGAAACTCTCAGTCTGGGAAGTATAGATCTACAAAACTCAAAAGATATCTTCGAGGAGGAAAGTTTGAACACTGAGTTGTTGTTTCCAGAGGAGGTGTTGGATCCATGTGGCCTTGGCATCAAGGAAGAGGTGTTTAATGTAGATCCCAACAACGGTGAACAAAATTTCTCCCCTTTAGAACTTGTGTCGCATAAAGATCAGATGGACTTAGAAGCTCTTACTGAGGTTTGGCGGAACTCACCTCATCTAAGAAAAGAGCCAACTGCACTAAACCAGCCTATGCAGGTTATCAGGCCAGAGGAACGTGAATCAACTCTGTTGCCCAACATAGGGATGCCAACAAAAGGAATCAGGAACAAGGAAAGGTCTTGGACTCGACACTTGCAGATGGCACCCCACTTCCATTAGGTTCAGGTAAGCATGTCCATTTGTTTTCAGTTACTAATCTGGGTCTTGTAATAGATGTCTCGCCATCACAACCAGAACAAGCAGGTGGTAGAAGGGGAGAGGAGAAGGAGAGTGTTGGGGTAGAAGTTGGGGAAGGGGTTTCTTTAGAAAAAAAGAGACAAGAGGAGGAATTGGAAAGGATTTGGGAGCAGATTTGTACTTTGTTGGAGGAATACAAATAGAAAGAGGAACTGAAGGAGGTAACCCTAAAAATTTCAAACCAGATGCAAGTATCAATAAAATGGAGTTGAAGACAGGAAATAAAGATCTTTCTAGGAAGTCTGTGGACATTAAGGGTAGGAAAAAGAAGAAAAGATCAGAAGTAGAGAGACTAATTTCAGATATCGAAGGGGATATTGAGTTTAGCGGTAGAGGGGAGAGGAAGAAAGCCCCTAATTGATGGGAAGTTAGTGTCCTTAAGGGCTTAAGAGATTAATTAAGAGGGTTGGGAAGTGCTAGAAAAAGGAGATTAATTAAGGAGTTGCTTAGAAGAGAATGACCTGATATTGTGATGCTACAGGAGACCAAACTATCAGAACTAGATAGAAGGTGTGTTAGAGGGTTTTGGAGTGCAAGAGGAATGAATTGGTGTTCAGCTCCCTCATGGGGAGCATCAGGGGGAATAGTAACTCTATGGAGGGAGTGTTGTAGAGCCAATAGAGGAGCTGATAGGTAATTTCTTTGTCTCTCTAAAATTCAGGATGGTGGAAGATGGTTTCACATGGGTGCTAACAAATGTGTACAGGCCAAATAATTATAGAGAGAGGAATGAGTTATGGGAGGAGCTTTATGGCATCCAAGGCCTATGGGAAGGCCCCTGGTGTCTAGGGGGGAATTTAATGTGATAAGATTTACAATAGAGTCAAATAATCCTAGATAGCCCATTACAACTAGTATGAGAAAGTTTAATGATTTCATTAATTCCTATGAATTACGGGAGCTTCCTATACTACAAGCAATCTTCACTTGGTCCAACTTTCAAGAAAACCCAACTTGTTCAAAGCTAGATAGATTTTCTTTTCAATGAAGGTTGGGAGAATCACTGGAGAGGTTTGGTGGCCAGGGCTTTACCTAGGGTTACTTCCGACCATTGTCTTGTAGAAGTAGGACCAGAACCATTTGGAACCAGACCAAGACCCTTCAGATTTGAGAATATGTGGTTAACACATCCGGATTTCATGAATAAGGTGAAGGAATGGTGGAGTGAAGAGATGAGGGGGTGAAATGGAAAGGGGTTAGATTTCATAAAAGTTAAAAAGATTGAGATCCAAAATAAAAGTGTGGAATATGGACCAATTTGGTAGAGTGGAGGAAACAAGGTTCGAAATATCAAATCGATACAGCTTTTTAGTGTGTTTTTTTTTTTTTTTTTGCAACTGGTTCAGGGGAGCCGGTTTAGGCCTCCTCCACACCCTAAACCAGTTAGACCCCCGATACACCCACTGTAGGGGCGTATCAGAGGGGTCCTGGAACGATACGTATCGGCCGATACGTGTCGATACTTTGAACCTTGGGAGGAAACAAAAGCTACATTAATGACTCAGATTGAGAATTTAGATGCAAAAGAGTCCCAAAGATTGATGAGTGGACAGGATCGAGAAGTGAGATGGAAACTGAAAAAGGAATTAGAAGAGGTCCTGTTGAGGGAGGAGATATTGTGGAGACAAAAGTCTAGGCATAAGTAGATCAAGGAAGGGGATGGGAATACCAAATTTTTTTTCATGTTATGGCCAATGGGAGAAGAAGGAAAAACTTGATAGTAAATCTTGAGGTTGATGGAGAAAACATAACTTCACAAGAGGAGATTGCTAGTTGCTTTGTGGCTCACTTCAAATCAATCTTTCGAAGACCTTTGGAGAATCGAGTGGGAGTGAAGGATGAGGATTGGCCAATCTTAAATGAGATGGACAGGGGATGGCTAGTAAGAACTATTGAGGAAGAAAGAGATTAGATAGGTTGTCTTCTCTATGGTAGGGATCATAAGAGAATTTGAGGAAAAACATGTGATGAGTCCTGGAGTAAATGCTACATTCCTAGCTCTTGTTCCCAAAAAGACGGGTCCTAAACATCCCAAAGATTTTAGGTCTATTAGCATGGTGACTAGTATCTATAAGATATTGGCAAAAGGGCTCTCAAGGAAGATCAAGGTAGTTCTACCTACACTCATTAGTCAAGCACAAGGAGCTTTTGTACAAGATAGACAAATTACAGATCAGATCCTCATAGCAAATGAAAGTGTGGAGGAAATGAGGACATCTGGCAATCAAGGTTTTGTGTGCAAATTGGACTTAGAAAAGGCTTACAATTTAGTGGACTAGAGTTTTTTATTGGAGGTGTTAAGAAGGCGAGGCTTTGGGGACAAATGGTGTAATTGGATAAGTGGTTGCATAACTTCCTATCATTACTCAATCCTAGTGAATGGAGTGCTTAAGGACTTCTTCCCAGCCAGTAGTGGCCTAAGACAAGGTGACCCACTCTCTCCCTCCCTTCCTTTTCACACTTGTTGCTGATGTGTTTAGTAGATTGATCTCAAAAGCAGATGGGCAAGATCTAATAAAGGGTTGGAGACTAGGTAGAAGAAGCGTTCTGGTGACCCACCTTCAGTTTGCTGATGATTTTATCATCTTTTGCGAGGGGAGCAACTTAAGAAAGGTGGACGATCTTAAGAATCTAATAAGGGATTTTGAGAATGCATAAAATTTGAGGATAAACCTTGATAAAAGTTGTGTAGCTGGAATAAACTTGGAGGATGGGGAGGTAGAGTCTATTGCAGTGTGCTTAGGTTGTGCTACCTCTTCTTGGCCTTTAACCTACTTAGGGCTTCCCTTAGGTGCAAACCCTAAAGAGAGTAGTTTCTGGTCCCCTATTGTGCAGAAATTTGGCAAATGTTTGGCGGCCTAGAAAAAGAATTACATCTCTATAGGGGGTAGGGTAACCTTGATTAGGGTAACACTTGCTAACCTTTTTTTTTTTATGATTCAACACTTGCTAACCTTCCAACCTACTTCCTCTTAGTCTTTAGGATTCCCCCAAGGGAGGCTAAGAAATTGGATAAACTAATGAGAGATTTCTTGTGGAAACTAGGAGAGGTGAAGAAGGATCATCTAATCAAATGGGAGATAGTCAATAGAAGTAAAGAAGAAGGGAGCTTGGGGATAGGGAACATAGTTCAGAAGAATGAAGCTCTTTTAGGGAGGTGGCTATGGAGATGGCCTCTAGAGAGAGAGAGAGAGAGAGAGATTATGGCATGAGGTGGTGTCAAGCATACACGGCTACTCAGAGAATGGTTGGGATATAGAGATATCTCATCAGGCGACTCTCAAAACACTTTGGAAGGCTATACATGGTATTCTCCCTTGCTTCCTCAGGTTTATCAAGTATGAAGCTTGTTCTGGCATTTCTGTTCATTTCCGGGATGATGTTTGGGTGGGTACAGTAGTCGATCTAGACTACAATCAGTCTTGAATTAAAAAGGATGAAAATTTGAAGAGAAGAAGAAGAGAAGAGAGGAAGAAAAGAAGTACACGAAGAGAGTTTCAGAAAAGAGAGAGAGTAGGTCATAATTTCTGCTGACCCTCTCTTGGTATTTATAACTATTGGCTAACTGTAAAAGGGCTGAATTGCCCTTATTGCTTACA